CAAAAAATTACAAATAATCTCTCTTAAACTTTTATAAATATTCACTACACTCTAAACAGATTCGATTTCTAGCTAGATATCACTAAAGGTCGATCGACTTTATTATCTTACCACCTACAAGGTAAAATAATATATACTGTATACCCGACCATCCAAATTAAGTGACCAAATCGCGTCGTTGACTTTTGTTTTCCAAAGGTACCTAACTTGCGTGGTCTTACCGTGAACTTTGCTCTTAGCAATCAAAAGGAACAAATACTTTTACTACTTAAAAAAAAAAAATTGCAGTTCTAATTCGGACCAGTTATTTCTTTAATATTCTTTTCATCTAAAAATTATAATAATACAACAAATAAGATTATTTTTTTGAAACGAGTAAAGTATAGAAATCCGAGAAGGCAAGTCCAGTATGTGGCATGGATATTCTATGTACCAACATACGCCAATCAAGTGAACTCAGGTTATCAAGATATAAACGTAGGAACCACGTCTGTCAAGCACAACTTCACAAGTATAAATCAGTAGCCTTGTAACTCACACGATCGAATTAAGTCAAAGAAAAGGGAAATTACAAAAGAACCACAATATGGCTAACTTAGCTAGTTATTTTATGCTCCTTCTTCTTGTTGGTAAGTGGAAAAAATTCGTACAAGTGATTAACGTTAATTACCTTGCTATATTGCTTTTATATTAATGAAATTCGATATCTTTAAGGGTTTTTTTTTTTTTTTGGTGGTTGTGTTTTAATTTCCCCCAAATTGCAGCTACCATGTTGGGCGTTGATTCGTCCAGGGATATAAATAAAGGCCACCAGGGAAACCACCATTTACAATCTAGCGCTCACGTATGCTTTTTTTCTTTTTCTTTTTTTTTTGTCGTTTACTAATTATTAAGACAGCCATTGGGGGTGGTTGTGTCAAATAAAATATGTGTGAAATCAAATAATGCTGATTTTCATTTGGATTTATAGAAGGATTTGCGGAGAAGTCCGGCAAGAAGAAGACCTGAACGGCCAAGAATCAGCCACGGAAATGGTCCACAGACTCACTGAGTTTCCCCCAGACTTAATGTTTTGGAATTTGCGGGATCACTACCAAATGGCATATTTAATGTGGATTTAATTTGAAGGCTGATTTCGTGTAGAGATGTCTCAAATCTTACACGAAGATAATACACAGTACTAGCTAGCTACATGTGTATGTGATGGGTTCGTCCGTTCTAGAAAAAATACGAGTAATTTACTTTATTATACTAAATGGATTACCTTCACGGCTGCGTACCCTTTGGAAATGACAACTTTACAAGTGGATTTTACGATGCAACATATGCATGAAGCATACCAAAGTACGAAAAAATATTTCAAGGCGACTCGTTTCAAATGTTCCTCTGATTTAATATCTCAATCGAAGCCGGTTATTTATTTTGGGAAAGGAAAACCTCGATTAATTTCTAAACATCTACTATACTTTTCGATGAGGATATCCGTCACCAATCAACAGCCGTTTGTATTAGTTTGAATGACCCCCCATTGCACCTGATTTGTAGCTAAAGAGCATATTATGAGCAACCAAACAAATATGCGTGTCCAAAAGCGTTAACAATAAGTGTTTGACAGGTTCTTGGGCGAGGTGGGAGCTTGGTTCGTGGTATATGTGGGCTATTATGTTGGGATTGGTAGGTTTAGATTAAACATGTCTTTCAGCAGTTCAATTTCGCAGCGGATTACTAAGCATTTATAGCGGCGCAATATTCAATGAAATTGCATTATTTGGATGTACTATTTAGTGGAATAAAGTCATGGTTAGAACACAATGTGATAGGCGTCTCTTACCATAGGAATATTCTAGTTTAGATTTTCGGATACTCTGCCTCCTTTATTTATACCGAAAAAAAAAGTGTTTGACGAGAAATAACGAAATGATGACTTGAGCTATTATTAAAATAGTTGTTGAGAGAGTTTTGTCTTTATAAAGGGACTTATTCGTCTAATCCTGGTTAGTCGGAAAAATAATTTGGAACACCATATGCATAATATTCCATCCGGTTCTTATTATAAGGTATTTTGATTTCTTCTTAGGTTTCACCTAAGATATTTTTTATATTTAAATAAAAATCTTAAAAATATTTCATAATAATTAGGAGAGCACAAAGAGTGTAAAAATATATTTTTAAGATTTTTTGTTCATTAAAAAAAATTCTAGGTTAAACTTAGGACGAAATTAAAATGCCTTATAACAAAGACTGGAAGGAGTATATATTAAAAAATAACTGTAGCATTTTATCCAGAGTACAAGTATGTAAACGTTCTTGACGAAATGGATCAGTTCCAATTTCTTACATTTATTTTTTCGGGGAGGGGGTTTCTTGAACTATTCCTATGAAATTATTTTAGTACGTACGTAATTGGAGAGTGTAACATTGAAACAAAAGACAATGAATCTTACGTGTATAAGAGTGGTTGGACTAAGTAATGGCAGTATTAGTAGATGGAATGATACCAATACGTAAATGATACCGGAATTAGTAGCTGGACTGATGAACAGGCAATTCAGTTAATTGATTTGTCCAATACGTACGTAGGAAAGCGCTCCGTTTGTTAGGATGACTTATCATCCTTCAACTCATTCTTCAATTCCTATAAATTTCTGATAATGATGTGGAAATTTTGTGTGGCAGCCCAAATAATTATTAATATACCTACAAACTAATTAAAAAGTTGCAACAGAAATGGATAAGTTGTCAAAGTGTTTCTTGTTTCTCCTTTTGCTCATAGCTTCATCATGTGAGCACACACTATATTATTCTGTTTGGATTTCCTCTTCATAAATCCTTTTTTTTTTTCGAATTGATTTTTCATTCTCAAAAACTTGCTTATTTGGTTTGATAATGTGAGCTATTTTTTACAGTTATAACAGCATTGAGCATTGAATTGAGTAGTACTAATACAAAAGGTGGAAGAAAATTAGGTAAGGCAACATTGAGAAGAAACGTTCTTCAAGCTGGTCCGATTTGTTCTGGTGGACTTTGCACAAGTGATAAGGGTTGCGAGGTTGGTTGCGATTGCGATACGAGAAACTCGATTCTAGGTGGTATTGGAATTTGCAGTACTATAGATCATCATATTGAAAAACAACATATTGTCGCATAGGACATTTCTCTTCCTTGATGGAATATATATATATATATATATATATATATATATATATATATTCTCGGACTTTTAATTGGATTAAGGATATTTCAATTAGTCGCTGAGACGTAACAGTTGTATTTATTTTTTACTGGCTTAGTGAAATTACCACCTTTCACTCGCTTTTTTGTCCAGTTGACTTTTAGGTAGAGAGTTGCAGAATGCAGACAACTGAGAATCTCCTCATGATATCTTAGTCCATTCCTTAATTTCTTCATGAAGTCCGACCAAAAAATTCAAGCTCTTCTGGATATTTCCCTTTTTTTTTTCACCTCAAAACAAAACAACTTTTCAAAATCTAATGGTACGTAAGAGGTAAGAACATTGAACTTGAATAGAAAGATGAACTATTGCAGTAAAGAAACTCAGAAATAAAAGAAAAAAAAAAAGATATGTTTACTCGAAGAATGGTAAGTACTTAAAACAAGCCATTTTTTTAGATACCATTCTATCCACGCTTTCCAGGACAAACAATTGTAAACGATTCACTTACCTTAATTCGTCCCTTTTTTATTTATGGGAGATTATTAAATTACTGAATCAAAAAGAATACTTACCAAATTGTGGATAGTTCCCCCTCTATTTTGGGTAACAGTAACAACACACAGATGGGACGAATCTATATAATTAATTACCGTTCTTGTGTTGATTATTTTCAACCTTATCGGGAATATCAGCTGATTTTCTTAACCAATTCAGTCATTATAAATTCCCAAAATACCTTGAACCAAATTTTATACATACCAAATTCTCACAATAACATTTCAGAGTCCAGAAGAAGAGATGAAGGGTCCTTCAAGTTGGTTCATTTGTTCACTGATTCTCGCAACACTTGCATCTGGTTAGTACCTAATTATTTCCTCCACTTTTTTTTTCCCTTCGTAAAATCCTGATCTTTTGTATTCATTATTATGGTTTTATATTTCTTGATTTTGAAAAAAAAAAAATGAAAAAATTCAGGAGTTATACTGCCGGATCGGGTGATCGGAGCCGAAGAAGTACCAAAGCCGCCGCTTCCAAGATGTGAAGTTGATAAGGACTGTGTGCCTGTGTGTCAAGGTTGCAAATTCTGCTTGTGCTACAACACTTTCTGCGTCCGGGGTTGCCCTCCGGTTGACCACAAAAACAAGCTCCAGTGGGAAGTCATTCATTAGATAAATTAAATGCAGTTTTGCAATCAAAGCCAAATAAGAAACCCTAGAAGAAACTATATATATTAGTTCTTCAACTCATAGCTACATATGGATAATCGAAGTTTCTAATTAATGCTATATATTACAAACATGATATGTTTGTGTTAAACATATATGTGAAGTATAATAATTGATGGAATATCTTTATATTACTATTGTGTACACAGTTTATATATATATATATATATATATATATATATAGTGGATGTACAATCTAGTTTCTGGTAAAGAAGTTTGTAATCTCCAATTTTATCCTAATATAAACCTACTAGATGTCATTCTCTATCTTCGAAAGCGGTACAACATTTTGATCATTAGCGTCCGCCTCAACCTTTTTATATACCTTATTAAACCCCAAGTCAGCAAAGAGAACTTCGGAAGAATCCTTCAGCTTTCATCATCGTATGAAAGTTAAATATATTCATGATAGAACCACCTCACCAACAACCATAGGCATCCCGAAGAATTAATAAATCCGCCTGCACTTGTTAGTCCAGATGTACTACGTCGAATTCATTAATTAATAGTAATACTAGGAAATAAAATAACTATTTAAGTGTCTGACGACTGACATTAGTCAACTCTCATGCATGCATCTCTCTCATGCAGCTTCCATAGTCCCAGTATCTGAATGCTTTCTGTCTTCCTCTTCCATCCCAAGGGGTTGACTTTCAATTTCCTAGAAGAGAAGAAGAACCTCATTTTTATTTGATTCTTAATTTCTCTACAATAATTCTTATCCAGCAAATTAAAGTCCATTTTCCCCGGCCCCTCATCAAGGAGGAGCAACCTACTATACACTACCCCCCCCCCCTAATTGATCTGTAGAGAAACAATCAAACACCACCGTCGGAAATGAATCATCAGAGTTTAAGATGTACTTCAGACAACTTCCGACGACCCACCGCCATCCGGCCTCCTCTTCCACAATCATCACCGCCCCGCCACCGCCACAAAACCTCCAATGTTCCTTTTTTACTGACTTAAGCTCTTCCAAATGTTGCTTTTACAATACTGAGATACAACAATGTTCTCCAAGTTCTCACCGGCCACAGCGGAGCTTCATCTCCTCTTCCAAGACGGCGAGCTCAGAGGTTGCGCAAAATTTTTCTTCAAAATTCTATTGATCTCACTTTCTTGATGACTACGGTTTTTTTTTTTTTTTTTTGTAAAACGCATTGGCCGGTGGAATGCGATCGGTTATCAGTTTTTATAAGTACATTCTTTTCGTTCCAAAATAATTATCACTCTCTCTGTCGTGAAATTATTATTTAGTTTGAATTTTCATTTTTACTTTAAATTGTATTAAAAGAAAATTTTTAAATTAGACAATAATTTTGAAACAGAAGAAATATTATTTATTATCTATTTTTGGTTTTTGCTTTCCATCTATCTCTGATTTTTTTTAAATTTTTTTTTCGTGATTTGCAATCTGCATTGATATTATAGAGATCAATAGAAGAGAACAGAGGAGCAATAATGGAGGCAGAGGAAGCGGCATTGGTGATTTGTAGTTGCATCACAAAAGTCTTGCCACCAGCATTGACTCTTGAAGAAGGGTTGAACAAGATTGATGAAGCTATCCAACACTTGAAATCTATGGCTCCTCCATCCTCTTCCAGTGGCATGTTTAGATTCCAGGTTTACCATTTTTTTGATGAATTGGACTATGACTTTGTTGTTTCTTTTTTCCTTTTAGATTGATTTTTTTTTTTCAATCTTTTTGTTAGCCGTCATGAAATGATTGTATACTTTGAATTTTCATTTTTAGTTCAGAATTACTAAAAATGAAAATTCAAAATGAAAAATAATTTTAGAAAGAGTACCAAAAATTTACTATTTCTGCAATGAAATGATAACCATTACATAATTTAGTTCTCATCTAAAATTCACCAATTTTCTATTTGAAGGATACCATTATTCAATATAAAATACCCATTATTCACCAAAAGTTTACGACTGGTATCTGAAGCATTGTTCAAGTGATCTTTAAAATTACGAATAGTCGCTGCTCATACAATATGATATATATACGGATTGAAAACAAATCTGTACTTTTTACTACATAAAAAAATATTTTATCTTACCACCTAGTTTTACCAACCAGTGAATATTACCACTCTCTTATTTTGGTGTTAAAATAGTTTTGGCTCAAATTTTCTCCTCTTCGCTTCAAAAATAATTTATATTAAATTTTAAAAATTTCACTAAGTGTCATTTTTATCTGAAAATTTAAAAAAAAAACCTCCAAATCTAAAAAATAATTAAAAATTTAGTAATAAAAAAATGTAATACTCCTGCAAATTCCCGCGCTCTTTATCGAACACGAGTGACGTCTACCCGCCGCCACTCCTCGCCGCGCTAGACCACGGCGGGCGGAAGAATTTCAGCCATGTTACGACCGGGCCTCGGAACCGCCACAGGAAAAAGGCCCTAATTTTGTGTATTGATTTAATAGGTTACAGTTCCTCCGAGTTCGAAGGCATTGAACTGGTTCTGCTGCCAACCGGAGTCAGATGGTGTCTTTCCACAGTTTTACATGTCAAATGAGAAGAACAGTCCAACCTGCAAAACGTTGACATTGGGAAGAGATCGAGGCGTATTTGGAATTGGATCAGCAATACACTTCAATTGCCGATATTCAAATGGACCGGAGAATGACAGTTCTTCAACTCGAAGGTAAATGACCTTGTTGAATCTTAATTTTTTCATGTCTCCCCTTCTTTTTTTTTTCCGAATACGTGCAACGGGCTCAAAGAGACAAAGATGAATAGTTAAAGCTTAAACAAGAAATCGCAATGTTTTATGATACCTAAATGTGATTAGTTAGTTTGATGTACCTAAGGGGAAATATGTTGAATTTTCAAGCTTGCTTTTGGCATTGCTGCTGCAGATGTTTGTCGGTTGAATCAAATATTCCAAGGGTTTATGGGGTTCTTGATACCAGATATGATAAGAGCTCTTCATCTGCAGAGCATGAGACGGGTTCATTTTATCTCTTTATCCCGCAGGTAGAAACAATCATTTCTTGCTTCACACTTTCAATTAGGAATAACAGTTTCAATGTACTAATTATTCTTTGGTATCTTATTCTTATATCCCAAATTCAACAGATTGAGTTAAATGAGTTTACAGACACCTCCATCTTGGTTGCTACGCTGGCATGGAACAATTCCTACTTTCGTTCCTTTGAAGAAGCTATTCGAAGATTTGATTTGTCTCTTTCTCAGGTATTGCTGCCGGGATGTCTTTCGGATGTTGGGGTCTTTAGTTTTCCTTTGGCTTTATGTGTTGCTCTTGGGATTGAGTTTACTTGCTATGCTTCCTTTTCTCTTCCATTGTCCCTATGTAAGCATCCTTTTCAAAGTTCAGTAGCCGGATCACTGACTCTGAGAAATTTGGTTTTTTATATTCTTCAACCCAATGAGGCTCACTAGCATCATTAACCCATTTTCGGATTTTAATCTGGCAATTGATTTATCCTTTCAGGCCAGGCAAAATTTTTGGGCTTCTGCAGAAGAACGTAGCAAAAATTACATTGCTTCTGCTGCTTCGAAGTTTAATATGGTGGAGGATAAGAGTTTCCAAATGGTAATCTGACTTATTCTAATGCTTCTTCTCAGTAGTAAGGTATTCTAAATATGGTTCTCGGTTACAAGAAAAATATTGTTCCCTGAAACTGCAGTCTCAGTTTCACTTATTCTGGTATTAGTTCCTCCTGCCGACATCCTGACTAATTGTAGTTTCAATTTCTTCTGCTGACATTTTACCAATCGTAGTTTGTCCGATGTTGAAGGCTTTCACTTATACTATGCCCTATGATTTCAGGTAGGTCTCGACTCTCTTCAGGTCAGAGGAAGCCTTCTTCAGGTTGATGCTATTGAACTAGCATCTGATCTATCTAGGTAACTTCTCATTTTATTTTCAGACAATTTCATCTCTTTCTTAACAAAAATACTTCAAGATATAATGGCCACGTTTGTACACTCATTTCTGACTGTTTCCAAGTTTTCTTTTTTTTTTTTTTGAAGATTTTTTTTAGCTGCAACATAAAGTTTTGCTTCATGTTGTCGCAGTCAATTCTCTGCTAGGTTTTCCCCTACAATGGCGATTGCCAATAACATGGTAAGTCAATTACTAATTTTTTCCAGTGTGGAAGAACTTTCCTGCTCAACTAATTTTAGTTTGGACTGGGATTGATTTGCCTGGTGGCGCATTAAAAAAAAAAAAAATCAACAATAGTTGAGGTTCCAGTATTTTACTGATTGCACAAAAGAAAATTAGTACGTAATAATAATTGTGTAAGGACTGTTAAGATGCTCAATATTTGCATATGAAAAGTTATTTGTGCTAAAATGCATTTTGTTAGCCCATTAGCTTCTAGAGACTGGTGTTTCTTAATGCTTACTAGTACCTTGATTAGCAAATTAGAACTCTGACTTGTGAATGAAGATTGTAGTAGTTCGACGATCCTAAGAGCTTCCCAGGCTCCTTTTTAGGTTCTTAAGAATATTTGTATAATAGCTGTTCCACTTGTTTGCCCCTGGCACTATTCTTTCTCTTTTTTCCATATACTGTTGGATACGCATGCACCACATTTTTCTCCTTAATATTGTTTGCACAAAACAACTTGCATGAAACTGTTGCTTTTGTCTTCTCTCAGTATCAGAATAATCAGTATAGTCTTACAAGCTACTTAACACGAGATTGCCCCAACATGAACATCTTATGGGCTACACTTATAGTGGAAGAATGTGTTCGTCTTGGGATAACGGTAAAGCCTATAAAATCTTACCTTTTCCTAAATTTTTTTAATCTTGTCTCTCTCTTGCCCTCTCTGTTTTAACCTTTTTTTCATTTGCTCATATAATTTCTTTTCCATTTTATCCCACCTTTCTCCAGTACTTTTGTATAGCTCCAGGGGCAAGATCAGCTCTTCTTACAATCGCTGCTTCTTCTCATCCCCTTGCAACATGTGCTGTGTGCATTGACGAACGGTCCCTTACCTTTAATGCTCTTGGTTATGCTAAAGGTTCTTGTAGACCTGCAGCTGTTATAGTAACATCAGGAACTGCTGTTTCAAATCTTCTGTCTGCTGTAAGTTTTTCTAAAATGCTGCCTTCTTAATTATCTCTTGTAAATAAGCATAATGAAATTGTTCTTGATCATTTGTTAAAAACCAGCCAGATTTGCCTCTCCATGCTCTGATTAAATCAATGATTGATGGGTCTCTGTTAACTACATTTTTTTTTAAATAAATCAAATTTTATTAATAATAATAAAAAAGGCAGCGAATATACAAAACCCTATATCAAATACAAATTTGATTTTAAAGTAAAGTTAATCCTTGTTCAATCTAGCAGACCGGCGAACTTGGACTCTTTTTTTAGCCTTAGCTTTCTTCGATCGATTATGGTACGTTGGAGCTGAAACCTCACTGTAAAAAGACTCTTGTTCCATTGCATATTCCACATCGAAATCATTATCAGAACCATTTGAGGCATGATTTAGTCCGCCTTCAGACTGTATGTCTTCAATCAAATAGTTTGATTAAATCAATGATTGATGGGTCTCTGTTAACTACATATAATAACTTCGAATCTAAATATGTGCTTTTCATTGAGGAATTAATCCTATGGCATTCTTTTGTTATTTCTTTTTTTTTATAATATCTTGGCTTATTAATATTTTCTATATGCCATTCCATCATGTATTTCTTTTATGGTATCAGCTATCAAGTATGTACAGCATAATCTTAATACTAGCAAACAGGTTGTGGAGGCCAGCGAAGATTTTGTGCCGCTCCTATTACTTACAGCTGACCGATCTCCGGAGCTACTAGATGCTGGAGCCCTCCAAGCAATTAATCAGGTTTTTGCGAATTTCCGTTTTGTAGTTTGGTAATCTTCTAAAGCACTTCAAAACTTTTATTTTTAGGACTTTGTTATTTCAATTTTTTTTTCCGACCTCGAGAGTGGTAAAATTCTAAATTTCAATATTTCTTTAAGCGTTCCAGTCACTATTTTCCTTCAGCAATCAAGTGACCAGAGGTGACCTGTTCTGCATCAGTTATCCATATCGAATGTCTTGGATAAACAAGACATTTTACATCAATTTTGCACTTTAACCTTTTAGAGGAAGGTGTTAAATGGTAAATTTGAATATCAAATCTATGCCTTTCTCAAATGTTCCTCCAAAGTTAGTCTTTCTCCATCTTCTTCTGCATTGTTTTATGAATAAAAGGACATCACACAGTTTCACTTTCCATACTGATTGCATTTCATGTTTGATGGTTGCACCGACCATCATTTTCAAAGTTAGGCTGCTAAAATGAACTTGAACTTTAGTGTCCTTTTTGGGATAATACGATGTAATGTAAAGATTGTATATCAAATCTATGCCTTTCTCAAATGTTCCTCCAAAGTTAGTCTTTCTCCATCTTCTTCTGCATTGTTTTATAAATAAAAGGACATCACACAGTTTCACTTTCCATACTGATTGCATTTCATGTTTGATGGTTGCACCGACCATCATTTTCAAAGTTAGTCTGCTAAAATGAACTTGAACTTTAGTGTCCTTTTTGGGATAATACGATGTAATGTAATTGAACAAACAGTAGCTGTACTCTTGGCTTATGGGTTTTCATGTTGATTGTTGAAGCCCTAGCTGCTGTTGATCTTGGTTCTGAGCAACCTGACCTCCTGATATATGTACTTATTCTCCTAAGAATGCTGTTGTAAGACTCTCAGACTCCTGCAACCAGTCAGAAGGTTTATGCCCTGATTTTCCAATTGTAGGTCAATCATTTTGGTCAGTTTGCTAAACATTCCTTCAGTCTTCCGGTACCCACAGACGATATTTCTGCAAAAATGGTTCTCACTACACTTGACTCTGCTGTTTATTTGTCAACGACTTCACCCTACGGTCCAATCCACATCAATTGTCCTTTCGGTGAACCAATTGGCTACAACCCCACCACATGGGAAAGGAAGTGTTTAAATGGATTAGAAGATTGGATGCTATCATCAGAACCATTTACCACCTACTCCCAATTGCCACATTCTATTGTTTCAAATCAGTCTCATGGAATTATGGTGGAAGTAGTCAAATTGATTCAAGGAGCAAAGAGAGGGATTTTGGTTCTTGGTGCACTTCATACTGAAGATGACATGTGGGCAGCTCTTTTCCTTGCTAAACATCTTTCTTGGCCGGTTGTTGCTACCATCTTGTCTGGATTAAGATTAAGGAAATATGTGACTTCCTTTTCTGAAATTGAAGAGAATATCATATTCCTAGATCACCTCGATCACGTACTGTTTTCAGATGCTGTCAAGGATTGGATGCAGGCTGATGTGATAGTTCAGGTATTCTAGTGTATATTGTGTATTTGAAAATTTTGGAATCTAAATCAAGTTCAATATTGTATTTTACCATATCTCTATCCCAGTAATCTGGGTTGTGGTATTCTTAAGGAAATGAACACCCAGGCTGCAGCAAACGAAAATTTTTAACCTTTTGAAATGCTTGAAGGGCCATAATCTTATGATCTATTTTGTTTGATATGCTGCTTCTACTGAAAGCTCTTTCCAAAACATGAAAAGTTTAGTTCTTCATATTATAAAAAAAATTGAATGTCGACTACCATTCGTGATGTACACTTGTCTAATTTAGTTGTACTTGTTAATCTGTTCTGGAGTTTGCACTCGACGATCGCTTAGCTTCCTCTTTGCCATTATGCAATGTTATTATTTTACAAATTAAATTGTTGTGGTCCTTGCTTATTTGAGTAAGCTACGTGGAAAAAACCTCATCTTCCTCTAGCAATCTAGTTTTGTGAATGAGCTTGGTTTGAAAAGGATGGTGAAACACAAATTGAAAATATCTTCTCCTTTGATGATTCTTTGCACAATTGATTAGTTTTGTATGGTTTCATCAAGTCACTGCATTTTGAAAAGGATATATTAAAGTGGTGATGTTGAAGGTTCTGATATTGCTTTGAAATATTTTTATGGTTGGCTGCATCAATGCAGGTTGGTGGACAAATAGCAAGCAAACGCATTTCGCAAATGATAGAGTGTTGCTTTCCTTGCCCTTATATAATGATTGATAAGCATCCGATGCGCCATGATCCTTCTCACATCGTGACACATAGGATTCAGAGTGCCATTACAGACTTTTCACATTCTATTATCAAATTTTGTTCTCCCAGTGAAAACAGCCAATGGAAAGCATACTTACAAGTTTTGAACTTGGCGGTGCGTGTCTAAGCTTTAACTCTACACTTGCTTCAGTGTTTCTGGTTTCTCTTATATATTTTCTTCCTTCTTTGGTGCGTTGTGCTTAATGAAATGATTATCTTCAGGAAAACCTGTGTTGAATTTTTTGCTGGTGATATCCACCCTAAACCACTCTAGTAGGCATTTTTACCGCATAGGTTCTCTGTAGTAGACAGAAGCTATATGATGTAACTAATGCTGGCTTAGGTTGCAAAACTTGTGATATCCAAATCAGTTTGACATGTACATGCTCTTTTATTCCCATTTACCTCTTCTTCTTTTTTTTTCCAGGCTGCCCGAGAAACATCTTCTTTGATTGCTGCAGAATGTTCCTTGACTGAACCTTATATTGCACGCATAGCATTGGAAAATTTTGAATGCGAGTCAGCTATTTTTGTCGGAAACAGCATGCCCATACGTGATGCAGACAACTTTGGATATAGTGGGGCAAAATGCAATCACAAAACCTCTGAGATGCTGAACTCAGGCTTCCAGTGCCATGGGATTCAGGTTGCATGTAATAGAGGAGCAGGAGGTATTGATGGGCAGACCAGTGCAGCTGTTGGATTTGCTGTTGGTTGTAACAAAAGAGTAAGTAGTTTGACGTTATTATTTTGAAAAAATATCATTGGTCTGCCAATTCCACATAGTTATGTTGTAGTTTTTTCGCTTATTAGTTACCATCCGTGATAGTGGAGGTCCATTTTCATACACGACTGTCACAGATAGTCTGTGTTGTAGACAATTTCTTGGCAGGAGCTATGCATCACACTTGATTCTTGATCTTTTCGCCTTTCTGAAGTTCTTCATTTTTTACCCAAAAGGATCGCAATGTTGCATTAGTTTAATGTTTGAGATATTTCTCGGAAAATTATGCAAAATTGGTCACTGTCTTTGTGTCCTGCAGCTTTCAAATCAGATATGCTTGTAACAGCTTGCTATGGGGTTGTTATTTGACGATTTGTATTTTCTCAGGTGCTTCTTCTGATCGGAGATGTTTCTTTTCTGTATGATACAAATGGACTTTCATTGCTGAGACAAGGGTAAACAAAATAGTGATCTTGGAGAAAGTGAAATCTGAGAGTGAAATGGGACCTGAATGATGAAAAGAAAATTTCTCAAAATCATTTTTTTTATAAATGGCAAGACAAGAATGAGACTCATTTAATGTATGCCACATCATTCGCCTATTTCACTGTATCTTCTCATTGACTCTATCATTTTTTTCGTAAAGTATATACTTTCTCCAGTTTATATTTGGTGCATCTGTAGTATATCTTTGCATCCAGGCCGACTGTCACATTTGAGTGTACTTTTACTTTACTACATTGCAGAAAGTTTGCGTCCCTCCTTAATAGGACACATCTTGTCCAAGTGACCTCCCTGGTTCACTCTTAATTTTTTTGATTGAAACATGGTGCAATGGGGAAAATGCTTACTTTTGTTTTCCTTGTGTTGGGAATCTGCTTTTCTGTTTTTCCACTGAATAGCACAATCTTTGTGGCCTTTTATTTTGAAAACTCTATACTTGGATTAGCTCATATGTTCACTGTTGATTCCTTCATAAATAAAATACAAATTATCTTGGCTATGTGAAAATCTGGATTATTTCTCGACTTTACTAGTACTTGTCTGTTGAAGTGTTCGCATATGTTTTTGGTGCAAAGGGTGTTGCGGAAGCCTGTGATCATAATTGTCATAAACAATCAGGGTGGCGCTGTCTTCAGTCTCCTTCCATATGCAAGTTCAACAGACCACAAGATTATGGATAAATTTTTCTACACATCTCATGATGTGCAGATCGGTCAACTATGCATGGCACATGGGTAATCTATCTACTCCTTCGATAATAGAATTTATGATGCAATACAACTTGAGCCTGCCTCCAGGTTGCTGGGGCAAGCCTCCCAATCTGTATATATTATATGATGTATTACTTCTGAATGACTATCAACAAACTCATCATGTTCTAATTGTTAAACCCTTACTTAAAATAGCTGATCGATATTGTAAGCATATGTCTTTCATTCAATTTCCCGTTGAGACTTCGAAAAGGTACTTCACTTCTTCAGAAGGGAAGCAATAGATGAACAGATCATCCTGTACTGAAGTTCTAATTAGTTATTATTGAGATTTATAGTCATTCTCTTGCATTGCTGAATTAGTCCAGCAGTCAATTTATTACTCCCTCCATTTTGAAATATATGTCATTTTAGAGTTTGGTGAATTTTTTTAAATATAAGTCGTTTTCACAAATCGAAGCATATTTGACCACTTTTTACTGAAATTACCCTTGCATTGGAAATGAAACAATATTTATAATCAATTTCTATTGGTTTGTGATGAGTTGTATAGAAAATTAATAAGGGTATTTCTGTATTTAAACTATATTAATTAATGTGTTCTTGGTTTTGATGAATTCTCTAGAAAGACATATAAAAAAAATGGAGGGAGTAAGTCTATTTTCTTCAGTTGCGTGACGGAGATGTACAATTTGTGCAGTGTGAAGCATGTACAAGTTCAAACAAAGAAGGACCTGCACGAAGCTTTATGGACCTCCCAGCAGGAGGATAGTGATTGTGTCATTGAAGTTAAAAGTTTTATCGATCGCAATGCTAACTTTTATGGGTATCAGCTTTAGCTCTAATTTCTCACTAGAAACACGGAAGACTTATTCTTTTGTTTTGCTGACACATTTATCTCCTCTATTAGATGTCTGGGCAAATTTGTTCGTCAGGCTGTGGATCATTCTTTTGATGTTTTGTCCAAGATTTCGATGTTTGATATTGTTTTGGAGCTTTCAAGCAAGAGAATTGCTAAGATGGAGTTCTGTAAGTACAGGTGAGTCCTCTAGTCAGGGCTCATTGCAAGAAACACTTTTGCAGAGTACGGCTTACTTTTAATATACTTCGTGAACATAATGGCAGGATTCCTCTACTTGCTTCATCTATGTCATCTTCTTCTGTATGCTATAGAGAAGGATTTGTAATAAGTTTATCTCTTGAAGGTGGAGCCACAGGGTTTGGGGAGGTAATGTTGGTACTTTTCTGTTTTTATTTCCATTGCAGGAAACTTCTAACAACTTGTGCCTGTAACTCTACCCTTCCAATGAATAGCTGCTAGTATGTGTATGCAGTGATGTTAATCATCAACTGACTTACTGAATGTCAATGGATTGTTTTTCTTTTCCCTCTGTGTATAAGAAAAACATGCTAGGAGAACGTCTACCTTGTAATATTTCACAAAGAAACAGCAATTTGTATCCACCCCTCTCGACAAAGCGGATACTTCATGTTCGCAATGCATTGATTTTGGTAAAGAAATAAGAGTAGATAAATGAAAAGAAACTTTACTGTAGCTGCTATCAAATACTTCAAGAAACTTGGATGCTGATGTCCATGCCCCTAAATCTCTCACCTTCTCCTGTGCCAGTTATTTGGTCTTTTTTCACCCCTTTCTTTGTTTTGCCTATATGAACTCAGAGGTCTATCTTTCAGATAATTGGAAGCGTAGACTCTAATTTTCTCGTCTGCTGCTGTTTAAGCAGGTTACACCTATTGAAATCATCAAAGAAAACCAAATGGATGTAGAAGATCAACTTCAGTTTCTCATTCATGCCGTTAAAGGAGGAGAAATTACTGATTTTGTTCTACTGCTGAATGGCTCCTTTGCATCCTGGTTATGGAAGTGTTTAGGGATATTGGTAAGATATTAGGTCGTATGGAAGATTGGTTGGGTTGAAGGGAAGAGGGAGGGAATAAAAATTTTCATTCTCTCAACCTCAACTTTCTGCTTCTTACACTTTCATCTTCGACTATGTCACTGTTTATCTTTTTACAGCCAGATTCACTCCTTCCAAGTGTGAGATGTGGCTTAGAGATGGCTATCCTGAATGCTATTGCAGCAAGCAAAAAATCTTCCTTACGAAGCCTATTCTATCCAAGGGCAGAAGAGTTGCCTATAAAGAGCTCAAATGTCCAAATTTGTGGCCTTATTGACTCCAATGGTAGTCCAATTGATATGGCTTCCGCAGCAGTTACCCTCGTTGAAGACGGTTTTACTGCTATCAAAATAAAGGTTAATAAAAACTTGTTTTTTTTTTTTTTTTAGTTTTTTCTTGTAAAAGTTCGAGTCTTCTGCACAAATTGAACCTTTCAACTGGGTGGATGCAGACTGAACTATTTATTTTCTTATCAGGTGGGCCGTAGGGCTAGTCCGATTGAGGATGTAATGGTCATACAAGAAATAAGGAAAAAAGTGGGGAATGATGTTGTATTGCGTGTTGATGCCAACCGAAGTTGGACATTTTCCGAAGCAGTTGAATTTGCTAATTTAGTAAAAAACAGCAACCTGCAGTATATCGAGGTATTTGCTGTGGCAATGTTATAAAAAAAAAGAAAAAAATTGATGTCTCTATCGTTGCACGTATTCTAAGCTTTGAGTATGAATTATGTTGCATATTGCACTCGACATATCCTTTCCTCTTTAGATTTATTCTTAATTTTCTTTGATGCTATCACAGAAATTTTTAAAATCTACAAACTATGCAGTAATGCAACTCTTCCAAATTCTTTTCGTTACTCCAGCTTTTGTTGAAGTTTCAAACATGTCAATATTCAGACTTCTTAAGAAATCAAATCCTAAAATTTCTGCACTGCCTTGATGATTCCACTTTTTAATTTCAGGAGCCTGTTAGGGACGAAGATGCTATTTTGAAGTTTTGCGAAGAGACTGGCTTGCCTGTGGCACTGGATGAGACTATCAATACAAGGGCAGATCCTGTAGAAGTACTTAAGAAGTACACCCACTCGGGTGTTGTTGCTGTGGTATGTGTTGATGCGTACACGATCTAGCTTGTATTGAGTCTTTGATTTGTGTTAATTTCGTGAACCTATTTTGAATGTTGCTCATGAGTGCATTTGATTGGGAATAGGTTACTAAACGAATTTATTCTCTCTTTTTGTTTGCTTATCTGATTATGAATAATGATGTCTTTGATTATTTTTTAAGAGGTTCACTTATTCAACTTCTCTGTATTGATATATATTTCATGATGGTGCATTTTATTGTAGTGTTGCATAAGAAGAGCTTGAGTATGCTTCCCTGACGTCCATCATCTGTAAACAAATTCTGTTTCTGCATCTCATGGAGAACTTCCTCCCACATTGAAATTTTTAGACAAGTGATGACTAGAACTCTTGTTTCCAACTGACTGTTGCCTCATTTCTGTAATTTGTATGCTGTATTCTTGTTGAGACAATTTTGAAATAGTTGCTAATTGAACTTGCCTTTGATTTTCCTTCAGGTAATAAGACCAAGCATGATTGGTGGTTTTGAAAAAGCAGCATCTGTTGCAAGATGGGCTCAGCAGCAAGGAAAATTGGCTGTCGTTGGTTCTACTTTGGAGAGTGGCTTGGGTTTGTCATCCTATGTTCAGTTCTCAAGCTATATTGATCTGCAAGGTGCTGAATTATGCAGCGTGATAAATCAGAACCCACCAATTTGCTTAGCTCATGATCTCGGGACTTACAAGTGGCTTAAAGAAGATGTGAGCACAGAGCCTTTAGGTCTCTGTGGTGACTCAGATAATGGCTTTGCTGTAACCAACAGTTGCCGGTACTTGCGAAAATTCCAAATCAATCAAAATGTGATTGTTCAAACATATGCTGAAGAAGTAATACATGAATATCAGTTGCCTGTCGATTCGGAGGGGACCACCTACTCTCTCAATGTGGTCGAGATGGGGAAAGAAGTTGATGTAAGAACTGGTGTACTCTGCTCAGAGAATGATTTGTTTTCCTCTTTTTCCTAGCTGAATTAATTTCATCACTGGCTTGTAATTCCGCTGCTTATTCAATTTTCTTCTTCAGGGTCCTGCCCTTCTGTTTCTTCATGGATTTCTTGGAAGTGGCGAAGATTGGGTACCAACTATGAAGTCACTATCAAAATCAGTGAGATGCATAGCAATTGACCTTCCTGGTCACGGTAAATCTAGCTCAAAATATCAGACTAGTAATGGTTCCAATAAACAGCCTCGTCTGTCAGTAGAGAATGTTGCTGGTATGTTGTGTAAATTGATACCCAAAATAAATGCCAAGAAGGTAATTTTGGTTGGATACTCCATGGGAGCAAGGATTGCGTTGAACGTTGCCTTGAAAAGTGCTGATAAGGTACATAAGCTGATGTGTTTAGTATCTCATATCAATCTGATTTCTTGATGAAATTGATAAAGGTAGTTTTTGATGTATGACTTATGCTGGAAGGTTGAAGGAGCTGTTATCATTTCTGGAAGCCCGGGACTTGAACATTCAGGAGCAAGATTGGTTCGTCAAGTTAAAGATGATTTTAGAGCCAGCTCCCTTGTTTCGTATGGACTTGAGAACTTTTTAGATTCCTGGTACACTCAAGAGATGTGGAACAGGTAACTGGGAATATCCCTGTTTCTACTATACTCCTTTCTTTGATCTTCTTATTTTTGTAGAATATACTTCCACACCTTACTAATAGCAACGTATGATACAAAGCAGCCTAAGGAGTCATCCTCATTTCAGCAAAATCATTACAAACAGGTTGCAGCATGGCGACTTGAATACTCTGGCAAGAGTTCTGTCTGATTCAAGTGTCGGAAGACAGCAGTAAGTTCATGAAACATACAGAAACAATTTAATCACAAATGCAATATAAATTTGACAGCGGTTGGATTTAACTTCACAATCAATGCCATAGCCATTGGATTTGACTCCACAATGCTAATGATTTTGCTTCATTTTTATTTTGATGATAAGACCACTGTGGGAAGACTTGAAGAAGTGCAGTGTACCGCTTCTGCTTGTTGTGGGTGATCAAGATACAAAGTTTAAGGGCATTGCCAAGGAGATGCTTCACAAGATGAGCGACGACGCCAGGAGAGAAGTTAGTGCATCAATATCTGAAATACCAAATGCTGGGCATGCTGTCCATGTTGAGAATCCCCTCTCTGTAATATATGCCATCCGGAAGTTCTTGAACAGAGTCAATAACTTGCCATCCTATCAATGAAAGGGACAGGGTTACTGCAGATGGTGAAAACGTCCCACTTTTTTTATCAATAGTTCTGGAGGTTTCAGGCGAACTGAGCGCCAAAGTGAGCGAGTTCAACTGCTGGGTCAAGTTTAGAAGATACTCTACATGAGATTCCACGAGTAAATACGTTGGTTTTGCTAAGCTCGATCTTTGGGAGCCATACTCCACAAGGTTTGTCTTCTGCAGAAATTTTCAGAATTTCTGTTAAGCTTATCGAATGAAGGAATGATACTCTTGACGACTGATTTTTTACAAAGTCTAAGACGGACGCGCGTGGAGACCAACTAGATTTGCTTAGCTCGATCGATAGTTCTGCTGCATAATAATAATAATAATCCCTCAGGTCCCAAAAACTAATCCATAATGCAAAAGAGTAGCGTTTTTGGAGGTCTTGAGTTCTGTTCAAGCGTGTGTGCGAATTCCATCAAAAATTGATGAATGAAAAAAAAAAAAGAAAAAAAAAACTGCCCTACAAATAATGACGCATGTTCTATGAAAAAATAGCTCACCTCGGGTTCATAACTATTCCCTCTATCTTAAAAAAAATCATAAATTACATTTTAAAAATGATACAAGTTTCAATTTTAATATAAACTACTTTTTTTAACAAAAAGAATATTAAAATTAGACAAAAGTCGACCAAGTTTTGTAATCTTAAACAATAGTACTCTCACAATTCCAATTCAATAGGGTCATTTAGATATAAAGGAAGATTTAAAAAAAAAAAAGTAAGTGATCGAATTTATACGATTAACTTTTAAGTGAAATTCGTGAAGCATCATAATTTATGTCTGGCAGGGTGAGAGTAGTAATTAAAATTAAAGGTTCTTAATTTCAACAAGATGAATAAAGATATATTAGAAAATGTATAGATAAAACCTTAATTAAATTACGGGCAGAAGGATTAAGTTTTGAAACATTTTAAAAAAGAAAATAAGCCTAGTGAGTTGAAACGAACGTAATAGTATATAAGTCAAAAGGTGAGGTAGCTATATATGCATAACACCGTGCTGGTGAATTGCCAGCTTTGTAGTAACTTGCATGAGCGCATGATCTGTTACTTATTTTTTTCGTTCCATTAATTTTGAAAATTTAAATTAGACAAACATTAATTGTTGGAATAGAAGGGATATGATTGAGATATATTAAAATTGTGCAGAAAGAAAGTATCACCAAAAGAATAAATAAATATGTGCTTGTAATAATATATAAATCAGAGGTTTTGAATACCGATCAAATTCAAATCTGGGATCGCAAATTCCCAACCCGCACCCGCAGGCCATTGTTGCTGCCGAATATACTGAAATTGAATGCATGCACATGCATATGGTACTGTTAAGAGTTTGATTTGATTACATGGGTTTGCGTTTGCAAGATAAGGGGCTTGGGAATTGTGGAGACTTAAATGAGACAACAGACTTATTTTTATAACTAATCGGAAATCTGAAGGCGAGTGGGAATATATAATAAAGTACAGGAAGGCTGAAGTTGAAGGTCACATCTGGTCCTCTGGAGACATCAAAGGTTTTTTTTTTTTTTTTTTTTTGAAATGGTGGAGAGAGAGAGACAGACAGACAGACAGACATCAAAGTGGGAAGAACATAAATTAACTGAGAAGCTGTTGAGCGCTTTAATTTTTTCCTTTGAACGTCCTAAAAAATTATATTTTGACCATTATACTCTTATTATTATTATTTAAAAAAAAAATGCTTGCGAAGCATATTTGCGCCAATCGTTCATGGCTGGCGCAAGAGAAAGGCGCCACCCTTTTAAGGATGGCGCCAATTTATTTGGGAGGCGAGAAAAATTTTTGGTGTCCAAAATGGGGGTGGCGCACAAATTTGGCGCCACCCCCCTCGGTTTGGCGAGCGTACCGAATTTTTTTTTTAATTTTTTCTATTTTTAATTTATTTATTTAATTAATTATTTAATTTATTTAATTCATTTATTTAGTTAAGTTTATTTTTATTTATCTATTTGGCGGTTGAACAAATAATTTTAACTTAAATATTTGACTTTATAATAAGGAGTAAATGGGGAATCACTATTAATCTTTTTTTAAAAAAGAAGAAAAAATATTAAAAAATTAAATAAATAAATAAAATTAATTTATACTTTTTCCATGCTTTTTAATTTTTCATTTCAACGTATTCTACATTTTAGATTTTTTTCCAAAAAAATATTTCCAGTACGGCTAGATGCAACGATGATAAATAATTAATTTGTTTGGTAGTAAATTCATAAGTTTTAGTTTTTATTAAATGATAATTTTTTGTTTATGTTTAAAAAATTTTACATAACTAAATGATAAATTTTTTATAAAAATTTACTACGTAATTAAGTAACATTCTCTAAATATTTAAGTTAAAATTATTTGTTTAACCACCAAATAAATAAATAAACTTTAACAAATAAATAAAATAAATACATGAATTAAATAGATTAAATAAATACATAAATTAAATAAATTAATTAAACTAATAATTAAAATAAATAAAAGAAATTAATTAAATACATTAAAAAAATAATTAAATAAATAAATTTAAAAATTTAAAAAAAAAATTAAAAAAAAAAGTAATTAAGGTGCGTGGCGCACAAAATGGTGCCACCCACCCTCTGGTTGGCAAGCACAAATGTGGCACCCAGAAGGGCGCCACACCTTCGCCATGCGGCGAAGGTTTTCTCGCCTTCCTTTAGAGGGAGGCGAGATTATTTCACGCCACCCCTTAAAGGGGTGCTTAATCCTCCCTCGCCATACTTTTTTTTTTGCAAAAAAAATCAATGTAACTCCATTTTACAGGAGCGTGTACGTCTTTCTAGGGCGTTCAAATGAAAAAATTAGGGCGCTCAACAGCACGACCCTAAATTAAGGTTAAAGTTTTTTTTTCCTCCCTTTTCCTTTTTTTCTGTAAAGTTAGCGGATGTGGAATGTTAAAATGTACAGTACTCCCTCCATTTTTTATTATATGTCGTTTTAGGGTTTAGTAAATTTTTTTAAATATATGTCGTTTTAACAAATTGAAACACATTTGATCATTTTTTCTCTGTATTAAAATGAAACAGTATTAATAATGAATTTTCATTAGTTTGTGATGAATTTTATAAACCATAAATAAGGGTGTTTTTGTATTATAATTACATTAATTAATATTTTTTTGGTTTTGATAAATTCTCTAGAAAGACGTATAATAAAAAATGGAGTATGTATTATTTTCGTCCAAAAAAAAATGAAATTAATAATTAGTAGTACTCCCTCCGTTCCAAAATACGTGTCGTTTTAGCAAAATGGAGAAATTTCAAAATAAGTGTCGTTCTCACATTTTAATGCACTTTTTGTCCAAAGTTTCCAAAATTACCCTCGAAAGAATTAATACTATTGGTAGACATTTTTTTAGTGGGGTTGGTTGAAGATATTGAAGTAATTTTACTACCCTATTCAAGAGTTTCTTAAACTATGTGTAAAATGTAGGATGACACTTATTTTGGAATGGAGAGAGTATCAAATCAAAGCTCATTATTGTGATTATTGTTGTTGTTGATACATTATTGCATACGTAAGGTTCGAAAGCACAATAAATACGAAAAAGTATATCATGGGCATGACATTTTCCCATCGGCTATATATATTAATTAAACCAAATTGTCTGAGTTGACTTTTTTCAGTTGTTTAAAACTTGGCACCTGCATGGTCGTTTGTCTCTCCTCCCCCTCCCTTAATCCATCAGAATCCTTTTCCGGAAATTCTCTCAGCCGGCGCGCTTTCTTCCTCATCAGCTACATTAATATTCACGGAAATATTATCAGGTGCTACTTTTACGTCTTTCTTTTATATTTATTACTTTTCTCTGCCATGCATCTCTAGTTAGTTAACATTGATTGATTGGTTTGATGAATTCTGAAACAAAGCTAGTATTGCAATAACAGTAAGTAAAATGTCATATATGATGCTACCTTCGTCTTAAAAAAAAGTCCACATTGAAGTTACAAATTTATACTAAAAACAGTAAAAGAACTCAAAATTCAATATGGAGTATTTTTGCGGGACGGTGGGAGTATTAAAAGAATTTGTCAAAGAATTTTTAGAAGAATTTTGAATCTGTAATACTAAAAGAATTTTAATAAAGATCTTTTAGAATTAATTAAGAAGAAGATACCAAAATAGAGAGGGTACAGAGTGCAAGCATTTTTCTCAAAATCGATAATGATCCTATGATATTTAGCTGATGCATCAGAATCGTGAGCGAGTATAACATTTCTGTCAGATTAATAATACTCCCTTCATCCTTATAAAGACTGTCCAATTTGAATTTTATGTATAATATAAATTATATTAAAAGTAAAAAAAAAATCAAACAATACAATATTCTCTATATCGTATTTTCCATTAATCCGATTGAGAAGAAATTGCGTATTTTTATTTTCATTTTCCTTAACAAACAAGACATATAGGAAGCGGCCGGCAGTGACAAAAACCAAAACCTTCCAGAATATTCTTGCCTTTGTCCAACCTCGCGCGTCGCAATGAAAATACCATCATTAAACATCAGTCAAGCTCCAGCTCCGGCGGCCGCTGTGGCATTTTCACCGGTGAACTCTTCTTCTTCGTCATTGCCAGCTCCGAGAAGAAAACCCTTAAGTTATTGTTCTGCTACAGCTACTGCTTCACCTACTAAACCTCAGTTTCTTTGGAATATTAATATTCCCCGAACCTCCGATCCCGCAAGATGCTTCAAACCCCACGCCGTCGCCGGTGCCGGCGCAACCCCGTCCCCGGACACGACACTAAAAGCCCGGCTCAGAAACGGCGAGACGCTTTACGGGATATTCCTCCTTAGCTTCTCCCCGACACTTGCCGAGATCGCCGGGCTCTCCGGGTACGACTTCGCCGTCGTCGACATGGAGCACGGCCCCGGCGGAATCTCCGACGCCTTACCCTGCCTCCGAGCCCTCGCGGCCACTAACACCGCCGCCATCCTCCGTGTCCCGGAAACCTCAGAGAAATGGGCCAAGAAGGCCCTCGACCTGGGCCCACAGGGAATCATGTTCCCGATGATCGACACCGCCGAGGACGCCGCGGAGGCGGTGTCGTTCTGCCGGTACCCGCCGGACGGAGTGCGGGGATGCGCCCACCGAGTGGTTCGGGCATCCGGGTACGGGTCGAACGAAGGGTACCTGAGCAACTACGAAGACGAGCTGCTGATCATGTGCCAGGTGGAGTCGGAGAGAGCGGCGGAGAACGCGGAGGAGATAGCGGCGGTGGACGGCGTGGATTGCGTCCAGATGGGGCCCTTGGATTTGAGCGCCAGCCTGGGTTACTTGTGGGACCCCGGGCACAAGATGGTGAAGCAAGCCTTGAGGGCTGCCGAGGAAGCAGTATTAAAAGTAGGCCGTGGCGGGAAGAAGAAGAACGCGGCGTACTTGGGAGGGTTCGCAATGCCGCCGCACGATAGGGCGGTTGATCTGAAAGCAAGAGGGTATCACATGGTGTCCGGGACGGTGGACGTGGGGTTGTTCCGGCGTGCGGCGGTGGAGGATGTCAACAACTTCGGGGTGGGCTTGAGTTTGAATGATGATAACGACGAGGATGATGACAAGTACCGGTTATGAATTAAAGGAAGAGCTATGGAATAAATTGAGCCACGATTTCACTTGAAGTGTCTGCCAAAAAACAATGGAATCTTGTTATTAGGAAAGGAAAATCATGACTGAAATCTGCTTATAGAAGTGGAAAAATTATCCATATGTTGCAGTTAAATTAAGATTAAATCAAAGACTATGATTTAATCACCCATCTGCTTCATGTTGGTGCTTTTTTTGGGGGGTGGGGGGTGGGGTGTTGGTTATAGTTTGCTGTGATTATGATCTCAATTCTTAAGATGGCCAAAAATCAATAACCGTTTACTGCAAAATAGAACACAAATTGAAAAGACCAAGACGACCAAAAAAGGAGGGAAAAAAAAAAATCCAAACTCAAAAAATAAAGTTGTGAACACGTTTTGGTAAATAAATAACCTGCTAAGATTAAGCAATGAGGGAGAAATAGAAAATTTTAGGAAGTGGAGTTAAGTTTGATTGAATAGGAACAACTTTGGAATAAAGATAGTATTAATTTGTTTTGGATGCTAATTACACTTTTGGCGATAATAAGACCCTTTTATATACATTTCCAAAACAGCAATTAATGAACCGTTTATTTAGCCGGAATCGAATTCAAGAATTGGATTCACTCGACCGTTTGGTTAGCAGGTATCAGATTGAAGGATTTGGATTCAGATTGGATTTTTCAATCCTGGCTCCCCCTTGGATTCAAATCTGAATCCATGGATTCAACATTTTTTTTTCTTTTTTCGTTTTCTTTTTTTCCTTTTTCCTTCTCTATCGTTCTCCACTTCTCTCTATCTTGCAATGAGCCTCTATCCAGTATATCTGGGGGTACCATACTCATCCTCCTATTTTTTACATTATTAGTCCTTTTTACACTTTTTTAAATAACATCCTATAATTTACAGGTTTAGTTCCTTTAATTTTTTTCTCTCTCCTTTAAAAAACATCTCTAATCTTTAAACGACCATATCTCTCAATTCGGAAAAAAATTAGAAAACGTGTTACACATGAATTTATTGTACTCGTCGAGATCTATCCAACAAGATCCATGTCGAATATTTTTTTCGAGTTTAAAAATGACTAAATTTCGATGGGCAAAATAAGATGGATATCTAGTTTAGAAAGATAGATAACCAGTTTAGTTTATATTAAGATTCTTGTATTGCATATATTTCTTGATCCGTAAAGAATTAGAATACGAATTATATATGAAATTTATAGTGCTCGATGAAATCTATCCGATAAGATCCATGTTGAATATTTTTTTTGAACTTTAAATGCATTTAAATTTTACGGGCAGAAATGAAGAAATGTGTTTTTTGTTTTTCTTTAAAAAATGGTTATCCGTTGTGTTCCTACTGATTATCCAACCGGTTTGGACTGATTATCTATTCTGTTTGTACTTGTTATCCAATCATATTTTTGACATTCACTCTTCAAAAAAAAAATGATTGGATAAGTATTGCAAACAATTTGGATAATTAATAGAAAATAATTAGATAATCAGTGCAACACGTTGGATAATCAGTACAAAAAAATTTGACAATCATTTTCATAAAAGAGCAAGGAAAAAAAATACTGGATAACCACCACAAAGAAGTTGAATATCCAGTTTAAGAACATGGATAACCAACTTATTTTACATTCATATTGTTGTGTTCCTTATATCTTTTGATCCGTAAAGAATTATAACACGAATTATATATGAAATTTATAGTGCCTGACAAGATCCATCCGATAAGATCAATGTTGAATATTTCTTTTGAACTTTAAATGCATTTAAATCTTACGGGCAGAAATGAATAAACTGAAAAATGATTATCCGTTGTGTTCATATTGATTATCCATCCGATTTGGACTAATTACCTATTTTGTTTTATCCAATCATATTTTTTACATTCACTTTTCAAAAAAGAAAAAAAAAAGAAGTTGGATAACCAACTTAGTTTAGATTGATATTCTTGTATTACATATATTTTTTGATCCGTGCGACTACAAAACAAGTTGGATAACCATATAAACCAAATAGATGGATATCCAGTACAAGCGAATTGGATATCCTGTACAAACGAAATGGATATCCAGTACAAACAAGTGAGATATCTATTACAAACAAGTTTGATAGGCACACAAACCAAATGAGTGGATATCCAGTACAAACAAGTTGGATAACCAGTTCAAACTGGTTGGATAATCAGCATAAACACAATGGATAACCAATTTAAAATAAATTGGGTTATCCATCTTTCTAAACTAGATATCCATCTTATTCTGCTTATCAAAATTTAGTCATTTTTAAACTCGGAAAAAATATTCGACATGGATCTTGTTGGATAGATGTCGATGAATACAATAAAATTCATGTGTAACACGTTTTCTAATTCTTCACGGATTGAGAGATATGATTGTTTGATTATTAGAGATGTTTTTTTAGAAGAGAAAAAAGTGATAGGGACGAAACTTGCAAATAATAGGAAAATTATTAAAAAAAGTAAAAAAAAAATACAATAAAGACCAGTAGTGCAGAAATTAAGAGGGAGAGTATGACGGCCGGTGCACCCAATAAATTGCGTTTTTTTTTCATCGTGGATGTGCTCATCAATAACAACCCCCACCCAAATTCAACCTTCAGAACTTCAGACCCACCGTCAAATTCAACCAATCCAATTCAAATAATTTCACCTATTTATAAACAATAATTGAGACAACCCAATAATAGAATCTCTTTGACGGTTCGGATCCGAGCTTCTCATAATTCTTTGATGGGTTAATTTAGGTGGAGGTTATGGTAGTTGGCGAAGATGGATGGTGGTCATCGTTCCGGCCACCGAGCTCCTCGATAAAAATTTTCGTTTAGATGCCCTTGATTATAATTTGTAAAGTCTGATTTAGGGTTTGAGTTTCCTCTTTTCCTTTTGCATTCTTTGTCGAATATTGAGAAAATTGAAAGAACAATTGAGCAATTTGGGCGCAGAACAGAGACGCGGCGATGGGTGGAGGTGGGAAGAAGAGAAGCAGAACGTAGGAGAGAGGAGAAACGGAAAAAAAAGGATTTTTTTAATATATATATATATATAATAATAATAACAATCCAATATCCTAAACCAAAAACATAATACAACGTCGGTAAATTATAAATCTATAAATTAATAATTTCTAAAAATTAATAATTTTTTCCGATCCCAACTTAGGGTCAGTCCAAAAAAGAAAAAAAAATCGATAAAATAATAAGATAATAATGTTTCAAAAAATCTCCTATATATTTATAGGTCCCAACAATACCATAAATTAATAAATATCCTAACAACAAAGTAATGATAATTTCTATAATATATTTAGTCAAATATGAACTACGAATACTTGTTTTTTAGTTCCTGGAAATGATATGAACTATGTATGGATTTTAGTGTAATTTTAATACATCATTGATTCGGATGTCAAGACCACTGCATATCAAGTAGTAATTCAGTAACAATTTTTTTTCTCATACAAATTCTTTAAATTAATAATTTATTAATTTATTGATTATTTAATAATTTGCTAAATTAATAAATTTTGGTGGTCTCAACCCTATTAATTTATAGAAGTTCTACAGTATTTGGATTCAAGAATCCCTGAATCTTCAAATCCAATCCACTCTTCATTCAAATCCGTTTCCTAATCCGTTTCCAGGTGACTAAACAAACAATCTTCATGAGATTATTATATATCATCGACTTTCACTCATTTGCTTCAATTGGTCAAAGTGTTTCATCACGGGGAAGTCCAAACCAAACCCAGATGAGATGATAGAGAAGGTTCAAAATAATCCTGTTTCAATCTCAACGCGGGCAAATTCAAAGTGCTAGGATTAGAGGTTTTAAGAACAGGCAGCGTCCAAGGGGACCTCGTTGACCGGGAAGATGTCAGAGAGCAGTTTGATTATTGATAGGCAAGGTGCATTTATTAAAGTAAACCAGACCGGCCGGCATCATTTTCTAAACTGAGATCCGGTGGTATATTAATTAAATTAGGTGTACTAATCGGATTCCAACCAGAATTAATGTTGGTCTAATCACAAACGAACAAAATAGCAATTGAAGACTTTCAAAATGAATCATACAATTCTAAAAGATGATAGATAATCGAAGAGAGTGGTTGGGAAAGTTGACGTCCATATTTTTTTTTGACTTAGTTTGGGGCATACTAATTACTACTTCCCTTCCGAATTAATATTGATGGTTCGTTTTGAATTTTTGTTTTTTATTACAAATTATATTATTTATACGAAAAGTGAAAATTTAAATAAAATAATTATTTTGAGACCGAAAAAGTATATTACGTTAAATTTGCTTTGGCCCTTATTAAAGTCTAAAAGGTGTTCCGGTAATAAAACCACCATTTAACGAGTTGATATTCTACTCTCATCGGCGGCTATCGTGGCAGAGAGATTAACCCTAACAGGGCATAACTCTGGATTTATATCGCGATATAAGTACATGCTTGAACTAATGTATCCTTTGGAGTTGTAGCTTGGGTTTATGATACTTTACAAGAAAATATTAACTAAATCTAACCTATATTCCTGATAGCTGAAATTAAACTGACTTTCAATGTGCGATTACGTAACGCCCCGGGTAAAAAGTGAAATGGCAAGATTACCAATACCAGGTAACATTTGCCCTAATGATTCATCCGAATGGCCCCAAATAACCACAAGCTTACAGTTAGGATGAGCTCAAGGATTGAATTTTTCTTTGGCTAGTAGCTAACAGCTCACAGATGCTCCCAGTTGCACTTTAAATTTCATGTCTTAGATATTATGGGTTCAACATGTTCATTGTTGAATCTGATTCTTTAATAGCCTTGGATTTAATAGAAAATCTAGGCCACATGCCAAATATGGACCTGACTTAAGGAGGAGTATCCAGTTTTTTTGCAGAGAAGTATGTCAGTTGAATTTTTCCGTATATTTAAAGAAAATAGCATATGTGCCGATACTCTTGCAAAGAATGCGTTAGGTAGACCACGGGGGTTATATTCTTTTTATGTTGCCCCTTCTTGTATAGAATACTATTGGAGCAGGAGATGTCATTCCCTGGTTTTATGTAATAGCTAGTGGAACAGGATTATGCCTGTTTATTTTGTAAACCAAAAAATAAAAATAAAAAATTCATGTCTTTATGAATATTTTGAGAGCCACTTGTTCATGCACCGTATGCCATGGAATAAATTAAGAGTATACCTTTTCCCTTGATCCTTGAAAGAAAAATGGAGGAGGAAGAGAAAAGGATATATATATATATATATATATATATATATATATATATATGAAAGAGAAACTTGTCTACAACTTTTGATTATGTTATCCAATTATTTTTTTAAAACAAACAAATACTTGATCAACGATTATAATTTGAGTCTTGACTTTACAGCTCTCTCCTTTGCGTGAATAAATTAATTTTTCCCCGGGAAGCTAAAGTGCATTCAATTCAAGTATCATCAATATCCATGTAGTGGTGATATATGAATCAAACATAATTTTGTCATTTTCCTGGTACAGCACAAACCGTAAAAAATAAATCAAGTTTGTACGTATCCCTAACTAATTCTTATTCGTCTCGCATTGGGTATTTCGAGATAAGACGCTTTTTTCATTCGTGAGATTTAGAATTCCTGCTCTTTGGTATATATGGTTTAGTTCTGACTTTTGAAGCAAATAATTGAATTCATTTGGTTATTGCTGTACGTAAACACAATGTAAATTACCTAATTGGCCGCTAAACTGCATGCGTTGACATTTTCATTCGCTTGAACTATATACTGCAGGGTTACCGTCCCATTTCCCTTCACACTCTCATCTGTTTTTTCCCTCCTTCGTTTTTTAAATTGGAAATGCAAAGTCATCTGTTGAGGTTGTCGGCTGGGAATCCTGCGATTTTGTCGTCGGAGATGGATCCGGTGCTTCATCATAATTTCTCGGCCGGCGCAATTTCTTCCTCAGCTTCAACTCTCCTGGGTCAACACAAATTCATGGAAATGATCAGGTACCACTTCTAATTTTAGTTGTTTCTTAATCATTTTTAGAATTGGTCATATATTATTGCGTTTAACATTTCACGTTTCAGTTTTGCGGACTAATGTGAAAGAAAGGGAATTTTTGCAGGACTCAGAATATTTCATTTCGAGAGAGAATCAGCTCTAGGGTTGCGGTGAAATGCATTGCTTCCCCTCCGGTTGAGGATGTCCCTGCCTTGGGTAGTTTCTACTTTTCATTGATTACTTTTGTTTTGTTTTGTTTTTTTTCCCCTCATATTTACAGGGTGTCCACCGTCGGCAACAGTGACTAATCCCCCTCAAAACACATAACAAAATAAGCTATTAAAGTATCATTGAGAACGTAATTATTGTTCTTGTTGTTGTTTTAGTTGCATGTAGAAAACGATAAATACCAACGCGGATCGTAATTAATATAGCTAGCAAATTAAACTTGAAATTCAACTCATGCAATTATATGGCTGTGATCAAGTTGAAAATTTCAAGATGATACATATATGTATGGATTATGCTTAATTCTTTGATGAGATTCATGTATTTTTGATATATTGCTACTCGTTAATTTATGGGGGTGGTTGGGGAACTAATACTAACACCTTTTCTGCTGTCCTGCGTAGCTCATAGGACAAAGGTGGCTCGTAATGAACATGTAGCTAAGCTTCAAGTTGGTTATCTGTTTCCGGAGGTTAGTGAGACACCTAATTTAGATTCACTTTTACTCACTCAATATATAGTACAGACTACAATATCTTGCAAGAAAGAATTAACTTCTTTTTTTTGGTCCTCCATGCTAATTAATTTGATTAGATCATGAGAAGGAGGGCTGCCCACGAGTTAAAGTACCCTAATGCAAAGGTTATCAGCCTTGGAATTGGCGACACTACCGAACCCATTCCCCAAAGTGATCACAACCGCCATGGTTGAGGTAATCTTTTCATTTTCATTTTAATTGTTTTTTTTTTTTATAGAACGCGCAACTTACACCTTTTTTAAAATATATAAAAATAAAACAAAATTCAATATATACGTCTGTGTGTGTGTGTGGGGGATGGGGGAGGGGGGCAATTTTATGGGTTCTATTGGAATGGATGATTAACTAAGATGCCTGCACCTCTTACTCGAATTTTTAGTGTTTCAAAGGTTTCCAGAATGTTAATATACCCATATAGTAGTACTACATATGTTGTCTATCTCGCTAAGTTTTCCGGTAAATTTGATTAATTGGTCTCTCTGCCTCTATACTCTATTGTAGAGAGCGCAAGCGTTGTCCACAGTACAGGGTTATACTGGATATGGAGCTGAGCAAGGTGACAAGGTACTGTTTTATTTATTCCATTTTCTTAGTAAACAAAAAAATAAAATAAAATAAAATAAAATTTGGATATATACTTTGAAGAGTGAACCTTTTCTATTTATTTTGACTGTTTCCAACTTTGCAAATGAAGTGATTCAATGTAAAATTGACCATATATATTAACTGCAGCGCCTGCTTTTAGATACTCCCTTTATACCAAAATTATTGTCCAGTTTGAGAATTCACTTTTAGTATAATTTGAACTAAAAATGAAAACTCAAATTGGACAATAATTATGGGACGGAGGGAGTATGTTTAATCACGCTTGCAATTTTGATTAATAAATATGCTTGCAATTTGCTAACTAAATGTTCATGAAGGAGATGTAAATTAAGATAGATCTTTAATTAGACTTTATAAGTCTATCTGAAAAGAGAGAAAGCGTTAATAACTAAGGAATTCTGATTGAGATATGCCATTTGATTATATTTTGGTCAGAACTTGAGAGCGGCAATTGCTTCAACATTCTATCAAAACCTGGGCATTGAGGAAGATGATGTGTTTGTTTCAGATGGTGTAAAATGTGATATATCCCGTCTTCAGGTTTGATGTTATTTTTCCTTTGATAAAAATTGCTCCATTTTTATATCCAAGAATAGAATTGATTTATGTACTGTATTTTTCAGGTCTTATTTGGTTCCAAAGTCACTATGGCTATCCAAGATCCGGCTTACCCAGTAAGATTTTAAAAGATTATATTGAAATAATTTCTTTGAAGAAATAATCGCACAAGTGAATTAAATACGAAGTTTTTCAATATTCTTAAAATTCTAGCCATATACATTAATTATTAAACTCCGAATTTTGGTACACCAGGCTTATGTACGGTCAAGCGTGATTCTGGGGCAAACTGGGCCGTTCCAAGAGAATGGGGAGAGGTTTGCGAAGCTTGAGTACATGAAATGCACTCCAGACAATGATTTTTTCCCAGATTTGTCCAATGTTGCCAGAACAGATGTCATTGTTTTTTGCTCACCCAATAATCCAACTGGTTTAGCTGCATCAAGGGAACAACTCACTCGGTTGGTACAGTTTGCAAAGGACAATGGATCCATCATTGTCTACGATTCTGAGTATTCAATGTACATGTCGGAAGCGCATAAACCACGATCCATCTTCGACATCCCTGGAGCCCAAGAAGTAATACTAATAATTTTGTTCTGTTTCACCATTGATGATACCTTACAATTTTTTTCGAAACTTTATGAATTTAACTCCGCTTGCATTGTTTTGGGAACTTAATACAGGTGGCCATAGAAGTTTCTTCATTTTCAAAGTACGCCGGGTTCACTGGAGTACGTTTAGGTTGGACAGTTGTTCCGAAACAGCTTCTATACTCGGATGGATTTCCAGTGGCTAAAGACTTCAGCCGCGTTATTTGTACTGCCTTCAATGGTGCTTCCAACATTGCTCAAGCTGGCGGTTTGGCTTGCCTTTCACCTGACGGCCTCAAGGTACGCAAATAAATTGGTTTTATTATTATTTTTTGTTACAATGAAGGAGGCAAACACCTATATATGTTCGCACATTTCCAGATATGCATGATACCCCTATTACAACTACGGTATGAGTACTCGTGGTAGACTCTGTTGTTTGTTTTATTTGAGATGTAACGCTTTTTTTTTTACGTGTGTCGTGGATGACTCTACTGTTTTTATCATTACTCAGATCAAAAAGTACTATATATATGCTAGTATTTTTTTTTCCTTTTTGTATCGTGGGATTAATTACATACTGTCAAATTCATATGCACAGGCAATGAGCCAAATGGTTGGTTTCTACAAGGAAAACACTGGAATAATAACGGAGACATTCAATGATCTTGGATTTAAGGTGTATAGAGGGGTAAATGCTCCATATGTGTGGGTGCATTTTCCAGGACGAAGCTCCTGGGAAGTATTCAGCGAAATTCTTGAGAAAACCCATGTTGTCACGATTCCTGGCAGCGGGTTTGGCCCTTCCGGCGAGGGCTTTGTTCGGGTCAGCGGCTTTGGGCACAGGGATAATGTGTTGGAAGCCTGTAAAAGATTTAAAGACTTGTATAAGTGAAATGCAAAAAACACTTGTCTTGTATTTGGAAACACACTTAAGTGTGTGTTTTCTTTCTATCAGTATTTATTTTTCAATGTTTTTCAAACAAATTTTATTTTGTAGTGGATAACACGGAAGTAAACAAAGTTTCCAAACGTTGTTTTACATTTTCTCTTGCTCATTGTGTTAAAACGAAACTGGAGTAACAATTATTTAAGAACAGAGAGAATATATATAGTACTACAGTAAAATGGCTGGAGCAATATATCAAATCACGTTGAAGGTGTGTGCTTACTTATTTGATAAGATTAGTCGAGCTTATGCCTGAATATGTCTAATTTCCACGAGTTTCTGGCTTTGGAAGAAACCGGTTTGGGGGACGGGGTTAGGATCGGTCCAGCACTCTTCTTCAATTGGCGCTGCACAAATGGATCAGAAATGGCAGTACATCAACTTGAAGGTATCAATTTTTTTTCCCGCTTCGGAGTCCTATTCTTCTCATCTTAATCCTTTCTGTTCTTTTCATCGAAGGATGTGAATAACCACAAAGAATCGACTGACAAAGAGTTGAAGTTTCATCAAGAAATCGTGAAGAGTTTATTAGAATTATAGAAGGAAGAATCTTGTGTTTATTTTCGCGGTTGGTGTAAATAGACTTAATTTCGGAGATGGCGGGTTGTGCTGGACAAAACACAAGGATCAAGTCCGGGTTCTATATTCATTAGGATACATTGAAACAATAAATTCTTTGGTCATGAGCATGGAGAAACTTTAAATTCTTAATTTGGCCAATTCTCCTATCCATCCATCAAGGTGCGCACCTACTATCAGCGAGGAGGAATTAGTCACAGTACGTTGTACATGGTAGACACTCTGTAATATGCAAAATTAAATGAGAGATAAACCAGAGATAACTTCAACTGGAAAATGACTATGTATTATACACATAAATTTTATCGTTGTAATTAATCTAATCTTCCAGCCGTTGAGCAATGAAAGTCGAACAAAATTGCAATAAAAAACAAAAAACAAAACACAAAATAACATACTAAGTTAAGCTGGATGCCATAAACATTTCGTGCCCTCCTTAAGAAGATAATCGAACTATTGCAATCGTGCACATAATTTATAATAAGCATGCAAAACCTATGAATCTCCGTTATTTGTCCCCTTTTTCTTTCTTACAAACAATATCTTCTGTCCTTTTCTTCCCCCTTTTTTGATCTTACTAAAAATGGAGAATATAAATTGTAGTCCACCACGAAGGGAGAATATAAAAAATAGGCAAAGAAATTTAGAACAGAAAATGGCTAAGTTCGTTCACTACTTCGTTCTCCTCTTGCTCATATCAACATGTAAGTACGGATTAGTACAACTAAATTAATCCAGTCAATGCTTAATCTCACTCTCTTTTTCTCCCATTTCTACTGTTTCCCTAATTAATGATTTTGGTTCTTTGTTTTTTAACTTTTTTTTTTTTTGGGGTTTCCTTTTTGAAGTTGTGGAGTTGCCAGTTAACTCTTCCGAAGACATGTACGAGGGAACCGGAAAGTCAAGAAAACTGATACAAGTACAAGATTCTTGCCTTGGATATTGTTCAATTTTCACCAAGTGCGGTGTTGGGTGCCAGTGCCATGCTAAAGTTCTTGATCTTGTTGGAACTTGCCGTAGTGATAATGAAAATGCATAGATTTGATTTGATTTGCATAGTGATAAAAAATTCCGATTGTTAAATTATTTTAGTGAAACTAATTATTTTGGGACATGATTGACAGGAAAAAAAAGTTGAATTTGTGAGACATATAAAGAAATTCGGAGGGGATGATCAGCATAATTATCCCTGCTGCTTATTTATTGATGATATTTTTGTAATGAATTGACGTATTATTTCTCCCATAATACTTTAAATTAAATTTATTGCATGAAGCTAATCATTTCACCATTCCGCAATTGGGCTTAATTAACAGAAAAAAGAAAAAGGAAATATGGGCTACGTTTGGGTTGTAGGTTAGAGCAGTGAAATGTGGGCCTTTTATTTTCTAAAGCTATTGCTCCCACGAGTTCCGAAATGGCTTTATCGAGTGGCGAGGAAAAAACTCTTGAACCACAAAAATGGGAGCAAATTGTGTCAAAATCGTCGAAATTCTTATTTATGATGAATCGAATAGATAGTAGTGAATGTTGTTTATGTTAGTTTGTTTTCTTAAACATAGTACGGCTAATAGAGATATAGGCTTACTAGAGATATCGTGAAATTGGCATTTTGGGATTGTTTTTCCTTTCTTGTTTCCTTAACTTTTACTTTACAAAATCATGTGATTATCACCACGGACATGGTTTGTACGAGGTGATATAAAAGAGACTACAAACACACACTAATAAATAATTCAAACGCAAGAATTCAGTAATATCAAACTATGCAAGAATTCAGTAATAATTCAAAAACACACTCATGTGCATTATATTTATAAAGTTAATGTATTTTTCCCTCGGACAAGGAACTACACCATGCACTCTTAAGCTATGTTTTGAAAACTGGATCAGACCGGACGGTCGAACTGGTTCAACTGAGAATCGGAGACCTCTCCGGTCCGTTTTCGATAAATAACCGTCAGACTTAAAATTGGTCAAATTCGGACAAAATTGTGATTCGACCAGGAATTGGTATTGGTTGAACCGAAATTTTAAAATTTTGAAAATAATTTTTTTAATATTATTTATAAACGATTTTGACCGATTTTTAAGACCGATTCAAACCGGTTGAACCAGTGAACTAATGAACCAACTTAAGTTGTTGGTTTGCCTTCTGGTCCGGTTTTTAAAACATAGCCTTTAAATTCATGGTATTGCCAACAGGGGGTGGCCCAAGTGGTAAAGAGATCCAACCCGGAGGTCCCGGATTTGAATCCCCACGACAGCAAAAATATTGCCTTTTTTTGCAAGATGTAGTTGAAAGATCTTCGAACACCCAATGCAAGTGCAGAAAGAAGCGTTACAGGCATGGAGTCGTTCCCCACTAGACTAGGCTAGTAGTAGATCCCCTCCCCCAGACTCAATCATATAATAACCTAGGTTCTTGTAAGAATTGTATCAAAGAAAAAAAAAATTCATGGTGTTAACTTTGGGAAAAAGTTAAATTCTATTACTAAATTTGTATTATTTACTTTATTTATTTTTCTCACAATTAAGTAGTTCTTAATCTTGAAGTTTGGGAAGTTAATGTTTTGCACCACACCATCGGTGCTTGAAGAGTATGCATAGAGTCCACCCTCAAAATATTTCAGACAAAGATATAAACTTTACAAATTTGACTAAAACATTTGTTTATGTTGAATGAATTTTTGGTAAAACATTTCCGATTGGATCCATTTGACAAAGTGGCCCCCAACCTAAATCGCTGTCAGCTGTATATCCTTGAAAGCAAGATCAAAATTCATAGATTACGTACATGTTTTCTTTGGCTAAAAACAAGCCTGAGTCGCACAAAGCTTCGTAAGTCATGCCCGCCGGCACACCAAATTCACCATGTGGTTATTTTTCCCATTTTCTTTTCTGAAAATTAAGATGCTCATTTTTTCTGTAAATTACAAATAGGACCAGAGAATATCATGTAGGAGAGGCCAAACAAATCTTCTGGTCGGAGTATTACTATATACTCCCTCTGTCCCAAAATTATTGTCCAGTTTGAAATTTCAGTTTTAGTATAATTTGAACTAGAAATGAAAACTCAAACTGAACAATAATTATGGGACGGAGGGAGTACTTATTTTTTAGAATGACATGAATTAGGGTTTGAGATTGTCATGTTAAACTAAGAAGCAACGAGATACAAAACGTTTCTTTTATTTTTTTATTATTTGATATTTTGGACGTCTTTAAATAATTGGGAAACTCATGACCCATATTGCTCCGTGTTCCACATGCTTAGTGCCGTTTTGGTGGTGATTTGCATTTCAATGGCGGATGGATCAACTATTTAAATGAGAATTTGGCGAATACTAAGGGATAAATAATAATTAAGGCTTACAATTTTCAATTGGAGTACATTTTTGACTTCGGACAATAATTTAATGTTCATGCGTGAGACTTCTTTAACTCTCAAAAATTGTCAAACTTGGATGTTACTTTTACTCAATCAAGTGGACCTTCCTCTTGATTAACAATTTATTGGTTCGGAATTTTTCTACTATTATTTCTATGTATGAAAAGCTTAAGATGTTATTCCCTCCAATCCTAATAGTTTGGATTTGTGTAATTGTATTTTATACGTCTGGAGAAATAATAATTTTATCAAAGAATTTAGATGTAGCAGAGAATGGAGAGTTCATCAATTTTCCAAACTACAAAGCTCAATCTGTACCGGACGATTCTAGTGATCTATATATAGTGAACATATATATTTTTCTTAAAATAGTACTCCCTCTGTTCCAAAATTATTGTCCAGTTTGAAATTTCACTTTTAGTACAATTTGAGCTAAAAATGAAAATTAAACTGGACAATAATTATAGGACGGAGGGAATACTAGTGCTGAAAAAATTGTAATTACGAATTCATTTTATGATAAGTTATAAATTGTAGGTTCTTCAGGGATGTTGGGAACCGTGTGAGTGTTAGTATCATTCATATATGTGATAAAAGGAAAATTAAATGCTACATTTTGCTATCCACTTTAATTTTATTTTTTTTTGTGTTGGAAAAAATTGATTACTCTTTTGTCCATTTCATTACAACGACGGGTTCTCAAGGAAATTATTCCAGGATGAGTGGATGACAATGATTTGGTTCACTACATTTTCAAATAAATTTCACTTAGAATTAAAGTTCGAAATAAGTCGAATTAAGTGTAGTTAGGATATACTCCCCCGTCCTATAATTATTGTCCAGTTTTGATTTTTATTTTTACTTCAAATTGTACTAAAAGTGAAATCTCAAACTGGACAATAATTTTGGGACAGAGGGAGCAACTACCAACATGCAGCCGGCTCCTCCAAATGTTATTAGTCGAAAGTGAGCCGCGAAATTATAATCACTCCCACCTCCCAAATTGACTGTCTTCAATAAAACAATATTTTCTGTCTCAGGAGTCAACCAGGATTTCTTTTTCTTTTTTTTTTTTTGGAACGGAGGAAATATATCTTTCCTTTTTGGACGTAAAGGGTCTGAAAAAGTGGCAATCAAATAATGCAATAATTCCTACATTTTTCCTCCTAATTATATATATATATATATATATTAATTGATTGAATTGTTGATCAGCTTTTCTAATTAATACTCGCACTTAACGCTTCCTTGTGAGTTGTGACCATGACGATAGTCTGAAGTGAGTTCTAACGATACAGGTGAAAAGAGCAATTTCCTCTTTAAACACTAAAGAAGGCCTAATAAAGAAAATGTTGGTAATCTTACTCACGAAAGTGAATACATAAATAAAATTTTGGATGAAGTACAATGTAATATGGAATGTATATATGTTAAAGCTTTTGTTATTTTTGCGGAAAAGATATCGTAATATAACGATTATCGTTTGTGATAAGTAAATAAAATAAAATAAAAAGAAGAAGAAGAAGAAAATCTAGGTGATGTCGATTGACTAGAAGGATAGGGAATGGTCATTCATGGGCATTTATTTACTAAGCCCGGATGACTCAACGGACATGATGCATCGATGGATTACAATTGTTAAGTGTAGGAATATTAATTTCTGGATTCGCTGGTCCAGAAAGACCAGAGAACTCGCTCTGAATTTGTTCTTTTGGAGTCACTCAACCCGTAGTTGACAGAGTTAGCAAGAGGATTAGCAGGGCAAAGATTATTTTTCTTAGTGCAGTTATAGAAACAAGACGGTAGGTAAGAAACACTGACAACTTCATATTCGAATTACCATTTTATTTTAGGTAATGATTCGCCTAACATGAACAAATACCAGAACTAGACGATCTAAGTATCTAACAAAGCTAAAAAGTTTGTCGTAAACTTCATCTCACGATAGATTATGTTTCAATTCGACACTCCATTGTTTATAAGATTTTACGGGATTGCCTCAACGACAATGCCAAAACTACATCAAAATGGTACTAGTCAGAAAAATGTGAAGAAGGTAACGCCCTATTATTTATTTCCTATTCATAAACTTTGACCAGTTTGACTAGGCAAATAAACAAGCCATATATATGTATTTGATGTGAGTCTTCATTCTTCTAAGTATATAATTCAGAAACAAAAATCAAAGAAAGTTTTTTGCCTTTTTGGCAACTGTGTTGTGGTTCCACAATTCAGTCAGTCAGTCAAATTGTCCACAAAAGTCGTTATTAAACGAAGTACTGCCATTCCCCAATCCCCCAACTCACATGTATAAATATGCATAACTCGAAATTCCCCTGCTTTCCATCCCAACCGGTTTCATCAATTTCCCCCAAAACCGTCTCTACTATTCTTCCTGCTCCGGCAGGCGGAGCCACCCTTATTCCACTCTTATTCGTGGAGGAGCAACCCATAATAACCGCCGCCTGGAAGTCTCCATTTTTTGCACAAAACCACCGTTCAAAATGAACCATCAGACTTTGAGATGCGCAGAGAGATACTTCTTAACTAAGACTACCCCTGTTTCACAATCATCACCATCGCTATTGCCCCGCCACCAGAACAGCTTCATCCCTTTTGATTTAAGCTCTTCCAGAAGCTATAGCAATGAGGAACAACAGAACCCTTCTCGGAGTTCTAACCGTCAGCGGCGGAGCCTCCTCTGTTCGTCCAAAGCTGCAAACGCAGAGGTTCTTCTGTTATATATATTATCTGAAAACTCTGTTTCTTTAACTTTGTTAGTTGTCACTTTCTTTGATGGTTATATACTCAAAGCTGCGGCCATCCTCAGCCAATTGGGAAATTTGTTTAAATTTATTTCTTATAATTTTTTTGATAGATTTGGAATGGATATATACCAAAGATTTGCCCAATATTTTAGTGGCCATGGTTGGTTGGTTTCTCTTCATTTTGGAAGTTTTCCATGATGCATTAATTGCTGGAATGCTGTCAACGATCATTTTTCTTTGCATTTTCCCCCTTTTTTATTTCCTAACTGCACTGTAATTGTAGTACAATAGTGTCGATCATGCAGTTCTTGCATAATTGACCATATACACATGTCCTGTTTTTTGGCATATTATAATTTTGGATAAAGCGTTTATTAATGCTGAAAATCTGATGAGCTTCTAGTGAAAACCATGAAACATTCATTCCGTCAAAAAAATTTTACGTACTTTCCTGAAGTGCGGTGTATAGTATATATTCCCTAATATTTTTGACGTTACACTTTTGTAATATTTCGCAGTTTTACACGTACAATATTATTATTATTATTAATAGTAATAGTAACATATTTACCAAAATAGTATTTTTTTATCTCAAAATAATTGTCCAATTTAAATTTTTATTTTTTTGATAAATTTGTACTAAAAATAAAAATTCAAACTAGACATAGTCCTGTGGACATATGGTATGATGGAGACTTCGAGAGTTCGGATTTGCAAGTGATTGTGTACGTGTTAATAAATGTTTAAAGAGTAAGATACAAAAGATCTCTTATAATTATATGTTAAGATTGAAATGTAACACTAACAGTATCACGAAAATATGTGTTGTTGTAAGTGTATGTAAATATACATCCCATTGGGAAAACTTTATGTCATTGATCACATTTGTATGCTAATAATGCGCTTCTGACTTATCACAGTTGGTGCTGCTATAAATTGTAAAATATTCCACTTTTTTTTTTTTTTTTCTATTTGCTTGAATGTAAAGCTCGATTAATTAATTCAGATGAAAGAATTGGATTGGATGGTTAGGAGTTAAGACCTAGAATTATTATTATCAAAAGATTGAGAGTTAGATTCTCAAATGGTGTTTCCTTTTGTTCCCCAATTTCTTCTTGCATTTCAATTAACTACGTTAACGATTTGGATTGACAGGTTATCAATGGGAGGTCAGTGGTAGAAAACGAAGAAATAATGGACGCAGAGGAAGCGGCGTTGGTGATTTGTAGTTGCATCACAAAAGTCTTGCCACCAGCATTGACTCTTGAAGAAGGGTTGAACAAGATTGATGAAGCTATCCAACACTTGAAATCTATGGGGCCTCCATCCTCTTCCCGTGGAATGTATAGCTTCCAGGTACACCACTCCACTTCCAAATTAACCACATTACGTTCCTTATTTGCTCATTCCGTCGCAAAATAAATATTCTGTTAAAAAATCAATTTTAATTTTTTGAAAGTAATTACTAGTAATAACTACTAGATTCTCTATCTTCAAGTTATTTATTCTTAACTAAATTACTTTTGTTATAAGAAAAGGAATGATATACGTACATTTTTTTTTTCAATTGTGACGGCGTTAATCTATTTAGCTACAGCAGCAGCAGGTCAAGTAAAACACGAGAAAGATAGTCATGAGTCGTGACTTATATGGACATTGAGAGTTCCACTCGTTGGCCAACCAGATTTGAAAATTATTGATTTAAAGTTCAATCAGTCCACTCTGGAGATTACCCAGTCATATGAGTGGACTAATAGACTTTAGTAGTACTGTTAATAAAATCCAAAAGTTACAATAAATTTATGCAAGGGTTTGGATAATTGACTGAATTAATGAATCACGACATTACAATTTTTTCCTAAAAACTACTACTATATCAATATAGAGAAATGATGTATGGTTTGATGATTTTATAATCATGACAAAAAGTTGCTATTTCTGTTCCAAAAAAACAGTCCATATTAAATGTTAGCGGACTTTTTTTTATTTGTTTTTTTTTTTTAAACTTACGGAGTATATAAATAGTTTAATGACTTCAAAATCGCACAACATGATCTCGGTTCTAAACTAAATCAACAAATTAATGTATTTATCAACTAAATGATTTGATTTTACCTTAATTGGCTAGTACTTGAAATATATTGAGCTGAATGTTATCAGAACCATAAGGTTCTTTGATCATCAGTTCATTTTTTCGTTCGCATTAAATTTCAGCTGGATATTGCTTTTGAGTCCTAATCTAATTTTTCCATAATCCAAGCAGACACCTCTGTTCAAACTTTTTTATTAACCTTTTCATACTACTTTTGGACCCGACCTAGAAGACGGTCCGTCTAGGATACTCTCCATGACTTTATTTATTTATTTATTTTTCTTCTTTTTGCTTACTTGCACTGTTTCAATTTCCAAAATTCCCGGAATATGTTAAATGTCAAACTCCTTTTCTTTTCTTTTTTTTTTTTTCATTTTGTTTCTTTTTAAAACTTGTTAAAATTAATTTTATCTTTGACAAAATAACTTTGGATATTTGTGCTCTTTATTCTGTTTTTTTTAACAAAAAAAAAAAAAAAAGAAACATAAAAAATAAAACCGGATAACTTTTATACCACCATCTACAAGAATTATATACAGTATTATAAATTTTTATTATGGAAAACCGCCAAAATCAAATTTTATGTACTCTAGTTTGGCGCATTTTTGTATGGATACCGAACACGAGTAGCACGTACGCGCCGCCGGGCAACACCACCAAGAAATTCTAGCCCATTTACTGGAAAGCACTAATCCGGTGTGTTGATTAAATAGGTTACGGTTCCCCCAAGTTCGAAATCGTTAAACTGGTTCTGCTCTCAACCGGAGTCCGATGGAGTCTTTCCCCAATTTTACATGTCAAATGAGAAAGATAATCCAACCTACAAAACTCTGGCTCTGGGAAGAAACCGTGGGGTTTTCGGCATCGGTTCCGCACTCTACTTCAATTGCCGCTACGCAAATGGATCGGAGAATGGCATTACGTCAACTCGAAGGTAACGATTTTATTTTTTTTTTCCGAGTCCTGTTCTTCTCATTTTCATCATCCTTTATTTTCTTTTTCATCAAAATGAATGTGAATTAAGTGCAAAGAGCTGACTGAGGAAAGAGTTAAAAGCTTCAAGAAGAAATCGTGAAGATTTGGCTAGATTTACAGTAGAAAATTTTTTTTTGTGATTTTACTTTCGTAATTGGTGTAAATAGACTTAACTAACGGTTTCAATTGAAGGTTCAAGCTAGCATTAGGCAATTTTAAAGTTTGACGGATATAATTTGGAATTTTTGCAGATATTTACCGGTAGAATCAAATGTCCCGAGGGTTTATGGCATTCTCGATACCAGATATGATAAGACATCTTCATCGGTAGAACATGAGCCCGGTTCATTTTATCTCTTTATCCCACAGGTAGCGTAGACCTTGAATTTCTTGTTAAGGATTTTAACGCAATCTGAAAAATCTAACTTTTGAATTTTACTCAAAGTGTGGAAAGGAATGCAGTTCGGGTTTTTGGTTGTGTTCTTTGGCCTTCTGTACCTGATAGTACAATTTTGACAGATTGAGTTGAACGAGTTCAATGACACAACCATCTTGGTCGGCACTCTGGCGTGGAACGATTCATCCTCTCGTTCCTTTGAAGAAGCCATTCAATCATTTGATTTTTCCCTCCATCAGGTATTGATGCCGCAAAGCCTTTCAAATATTATTTTCACGCTAGTGTTTGTGTTTGTGTCCATCCACATTTTAGTTTTTGTTAGATCTTTTCTCGTTCTAGATAATTTGCTTTTGAGACTGACCTTACACATTATACTTTGGTTATTCTTCCTTTATCCTGGTGTAAAGCAAACACTTTTAGTCACTCAGGAAACTGACCAATGATAATGAGGGATTTGGCTTGTTATTGTTCACCCAAGGAGGCTCACTTGTACTATAAACCTATTTTTGGATTTTAATCTGACAATTGATACCTTCTTTCAGGCTAGACAAAATATTTGGGCTTCCACAGAAGAACGTAGCAAAAATTTCATCTCTTCTGCTGCTCGGAAGTTCAATATGGTGGAAGATAAGAGTAGCCAAATGGTAAAATAACTTCATCTTCCTTTTTTCTTTGCCAGATAAATATTTTACACTATAATGTTATGTCCAGGTGATATATCCCAGGATGAAAGTTAGTAGTCTTAGTTACACTTATTTTGGCCTTACTTTCTTCTGCAGACGTTTTGATCTTTTGGAGTTTGTTCAATGATTCTCATGTTTATGATTTTAGGTATGTCTGAATTCTCTTCGGCTCAGAGGAAGTATTCTTCAGGCTGATGCTAATGAACTAGCATCTGATCTATCCTGGTAAATTTTCATTCTTTTGCTAGATAAGTTAGACCTTTTTGGTTGACAAATATTTTGCAGAATTAAAAAGCCAGGGTTGGTAGGTTCACCTCTTCAGGTTTTGAAATTAAACATGCTGATACTATGGAAAGGATTCTTATTTTCCAACACTCTTGACATGTGTCTTGATGGCTTCTTTTGATTTAAGTCTTTATGTATAAATATTTTGATTTATCTGCCACGTCGTTGTCTCACGAAAGTTGCTTCATGTTGTTGCAGTCAATTCTCTGCGAGGTTTTCTCCTACGATGGCAATTGCCAATAACATGGTAAGCCAATTTCCAATTTTGTTCACCATGGAAAAACTTGATTACTGTACCACCAATAGTTGATTTGGATTCTGATTTGCCTGTGTGTGCATAACAGATTACAGACACCAAGAATTCTGAAACTGCATTATTGAAAATATTTTTCTGATTCCATGACCGAAAAATAGACCTTAAGATTACTTGTGAAAGGAAGTTGGGATGCTTAATATTAATGTGTGAAAAGTGAAGCTTTCTTTCTTTCTTTTTCTTTTCTTTTGAAATAAATGAATGTGGAAGTTAAGCTTTATGAAATTGTTGTTCAGGGATTATTAGTTGTACTTTGATTAGCAAAATTAGAGTTTTGCTTTATAACTAAACAGGTAACCATCCTGAGGACTTCTCCAGTCTCTATTTTAGGTAGAAGTCAAGAATATTTATATAATTGCGATAGTGAAGATGATGAATTTCTATCATTCTTATCACCATTCCATTTTTCCCTTGTTTCTTATAGTGTCTGTTTCATTGCCTTCTCTCAGTATCAGAGTGATCCTTACAATCTTTCAAGCTACTTAAAACAAGATTGCCCCAATATGAATACCTTATGGGCTTCTCTTATTGTAGAAGAATGTGTTCGCCTTGGAGTAACAGTAAGCCTATCAGAAATCATCTTCTTTCTATAATCTTTCTTCTTCTTTTGCTGATATAGTGTTTTTCATTTCCACGATTCTCCAGTACTTTTGTATAGCTCCAGGGTCAAGATCATCTCCTCTGACAATTGCTGCTTCTTCCCATCCCCTTACAACATGTGTTGTGTGCATCGACGAGCGGTCTCTTACCTTTAATGCGCTTGGTTATGCAAGAGGTTCGTACAGACCGGCAGCAGTTATAACAACATCAGGCACAGCAGTTTCAAATCTTCTATCTGCTGTAAGTTTTCCTGAAATTCTACCATTTTAATAATCACCACATGAATAAGCATGTTTGAATTGCTGAAGTTCATTTGATCTAGCCAGATTTGCCTGTCCATCTTGTAAATAAAAATGATTCATGAGCATTTCGGTGCTAATATCAAATATTGACTTTGGTTCTATAATAATACTTTGCATTGACCAATTAATCCTAGGAGAACTTTTGTTGATTTTAGGGGAGGCTTAGTGCCTTGTTTTGTTAAATTTCCTTGATACGTTTTCTGTTATGTGTTTCTTTTACATCAGCATCTGTGAAGTACTTACCAGTGCTATCATAACACTAATAAACAGGTTGTGGAGGCCAGCGAAGATTTTGTGCCGCTCCTATTACTTACAGCTGACCGACCTCCGGAGTTACTTGATGCTGGAGCCAATCAAGCAATTAATCAGGTACTTGCAAATTCCAATGTTGCAGTTGGCTAATTTTGAAATAGAACTTGAAAATCATTGAAGGTTTTTTTGATGTCTTTGTTTTGGGTGAAGTGATGTAATAATTGAAGTTATGTTCTTTCAAGTGTTTCGATCCTCTACTTACTTCAGCAATTAAATGATTGGAGATGATGTGTTCAGTTCAGTAGTTCCACATGTACCTTCTCTCACAAGAATGTTGTTTGTAATATTCTCAGAGTACCCTACCATCTATCCGATGGTTTATGCCCTCATTTTCTTCTTTCAGGTCAATCATTTTGGCCAGTTCACGAAGCATTTTTTTGGTCTTCCAGTTCCCACAGATGATATTTCTTCACAAATGGTCCTTACTACTCTTGATTCTGCTGTTTATTTGTCGACTACATCACCCTATGGTCCTATCCACATCAATTGTCCTTTCCGAGAACCATTGGGCAACATCCCCACCACATGGGAGAGGAAATGTTTAAAGGGATTGGAAAAATGGATGCTATCATCAGAACCGTTCACTGCTTACTCCCAACTGCCACATTCTATTTTTTCTAATCGGTCTCATGGAATTATGACGGAAGTAATCAAATTGATTCAAGGAGCAAAGAGAGGAATTTTGGTTCTTGGCGCTCTTCATACTGAAGATGACGTGTGGGCAGCTCTTCTCCTTGCTAAACATCTGGGTTGGCCGGTTGTTGCTACCATCTTGTCTGGATTAAGATTAAGGAAATATGTGACTTCCTTTTCTGAAATTGACGAGAATATCATATTCTTAGATCACCTTGATCACGTACTCTTCTCAGATGCTGTCAAGGATTGGATGCAGGCTGATGTGATAGTCCAGGTACTTCGATGAATATGGTGTAAATCGAGATTCTGGAATTTTAATCGTTGGTGGGGTTCTAGAAGAATACGGGGAATGAACACCAATTATGCTCTGTTTTTGAAATGTTTTAATCAATAATCTTACCTGTTATTATGTGCATTAATGCAGATTGGTGGGCGAATAACAAGCAAACGGATTTCACAGATGATCGACAGTTGCTTTCCTTGCTCCTATATAATGGTTGACAAGCATCCAATGCGCCATGATCCTTCTCACACGATGACACATAGGATTCAGAGTACCATTACGGAGTTTGCAGATTCTGTTACTAAAGCTTGTATTCCCGGTGACAACAGCAAATGGAAAGCATATTTACGAGTTTTGAACTCAATGGTGCGTAAGTGAAGGCTTTACAGTCAATGTTTGGTTTCTCTTCCATATTCCTCTTATTTAGATGCTTCATGCAAGTTCTTATCAATTTAAAAGGAGAGCCTTAAACTTTTACCATGGACCTAAACCCTCAATTTGAAGGTAGATTTTATCTAGTAAATCAAATATCTTTGGAAGAACCCACATTGAAGTTTTTGTGAGGGATGTCAACCATTGAACCAATCCGAGGATTCCCTATATGCATTTTACTGCCTGGCATCTATGTACAACTTCAAAGGCATGTGCAGTTACTAATAAAAAGAAAAAGTTTCATGCTTCCATCTTACATATATATATACACACACACACACACACACATATATAAAAGAAGTCATGTGCTGTTACTAATTCTCTTATCCAGACTTAAAACTTTTGCAAAACTTGCTATATCAAAAGCTATTCACAGTTTTGTGCAAATTGTTCACTTTCCCCTCTTTTCTTTCAGGCTGCCCGAGAAATATCTTCTGTGATTGGTTCTGAACAGTCCTTGACCGAACCCTATATTGCACGCATTGCATTGGAAAATCTTGAATGTGAATCAGCTATTTTTCTCGGGAACAGCATGCCAATACGTGATGCAGACAACTTTGGATATAGGTGGGCAAAATGCAATCATAAAACTCCTGAGATGCTGAACTCAGGATTCCAGTGCCATGGGATCCAGGTTGCGGGCAATAGAGGAACCGGAGGTATTGATGGGTTGACCAGTACAGCTGTTGGATTTGCAGTTGGTTGCAACAAAAGAGTAAGTAGTTTGACATTGATATATGAAGATAACTGCTACTCTGTAATCTCTCTCAGTCATTAATTCCTATCGATTGTGTATCAGTTTTCATTTTCAGAAATTACAAAGCTAGAAAGTCTGGTGGATGTTACATTTTTTTGGAAGGATCTCTGAATCGCATCTGATTCTTGATTTTTAACCTATTGACCTTCACTTAACTTCTTATGCATCTCGTAAAATGATCGCAATGTTGAATGAGTTAGCCATTTGATATTAAATTCTCCTCTACCAAGATATGAACTTGGCTACCCATTTGTTTTTCCCCTTCTCTCTCCCTCATATAACACTTTTTCCTTTTCTCTTCTGTTGTTATTTTTTATGGTGCTCACCACCCTTGTATTTGGCCACCTGCCCTTTGTATCTCACCGCGTTTTTAAATCGAATATGCTTATAGGAGTCTTTCCATTGGATTGTTGTTTAATGGCTTTTATTTTGTCCAGGTGCTGCTTCTTATTGGGGATGTTTCGTTTCTGTATGATACGAATGGACTTTCACTACTGAGACAAGGGTAAAATAAGTCTTTTCTTTAATCTATGCAACTTTAGTTTGTTGTAGTTGTTGAGTATCCCACATCTGTGGTGGGAGAGGTTTGATATCAATATATAAGTCTATCGGCTACTCCCCTCATTGCCAATTGGTGTAGAGGTGGAACCCCATGGGCTTCTATATGGTATCAGAGCCAGCCCGCCAAGAGTCGGACTCCAAACCTGATGTGATAGAACTGGTAGGGCTGAGACGCGAGGCGGTGACTGGGCTGAAGAAAAATAGACAAGTCCAACCCAAGAAAATGTGTTGGGCTTGCGGGGGAGTGTGAGTATCCCACATCGGTGGTGGGAGAGGTTTGATTAATATATAAGTCTATGGGCTACTCCCCTCATTGCCAATTGGTTTTGAGGTGGAACCCCATGGTCTTCTATAGTAGTCTTGAGGCCCAGTATCACATATGATTTCTCCTACTTTATCAGCATAAGGAGAAGTGTGCTCTTAGTTTTTTTTTTTTTTTCTTCCCCCTAGTACAGGACAAGTCTTGTTCAATTGACCTTCCTAGTTTGCTCTTGATTCAGTGAAATATGTTGCAATGTGCAAACTGCTTACTTTTGTTTCCCCTTGTTTAGGGAACGTTTTCTTTCCCTTAACACTGAAAATCATCCTGCGTTTTTCCCCTTCCTCAGTAAAACACAAGCTACTTAATCTGCGTGTAATCTGGCTTATGTTTCTGTGAACGTTATGTATGATTGTATCTCAATATATGTTTACTAAAGTGTTTGCATTTGGTTCATAGGGTGTCTCGGAAGCCAATGGTTGTAATTGTTGTGAACAATCAGGGTGGCGCCATCTTCAGTCTTCTTCCATATGCAAGTTCCACTGACCAAAAGATCATGAATCAGTTTTTTTACACATCTCATAATGTCGAGATTGGTAACTTATGCATGGCACATGGGTAATATATCTATGCCTTTGATGATAGAACATTTATATGCTTGAAACTTGTGCACTGCTGGTGGTTTGGGCATTCCAGGTTGCAGGGGCCAGCTCCCTATCTTAAAAGGAAAATATTTTAAAAATTTTTTTTTTTCTCATTAAATTGATGGTCAAATAAACTCATCTCTTTCTACTTGTTGAAACTGCTTTTCCCAACATAGCTTTTTGATATTGTTGATATTGTGTTTGCCATTCAACTTCTTACTGAAAGTTAGTTCACTTCTTCAGTTGGCCAGCAGTAGGCTTAAGGATTTTTTCCTTTACCAAAGTTTTAAGTAATGTTTGTTCACATTCATTTGTCAAATATTATAAAAGCAACTTCGTTCTTTAGTATATTTAACTAGTAGTGCATTATATTCCTGAACCCTGTTCTTTAGAATTCCAATGATGGAAATGTGTATCATGTGCAGTGTGAAGCATGTACAAGTTAAGACACAAAAGGATCTGCAGGAAGCTTTGATAACCTCCCAACAGGAAGAGACTGATTGTGTTATTGAAGTTAAAAGTTTCATTGATAGCAATGCTAACTTTCACGGGTAAGAGACTTCTTACTACCTCTAATTTGTCATTATTAGATATTAAACCTTTAACTTGGTATTTTTCTGACACATTTGACTCCTCTTTCAGTCGTTTGAGCAAATTCGTTCGTCAGGCTGTGGATCATTCTTTTGATGTTTTGTCCAAGCATTCAGTGTCTGATGTATCATCAAGTGAATTTTCAACCATGAGGATATCAAAGATGGAGTTCTCCAAATACAGGTGGTCCATTTAACCTTGGCACATTACTGTTGTCATCTTGTGTATTATATACCCTTGGATTTCATTTGCTTTCTTATTATAATGGCAGGATTCCGCTAGCTGCTCCACCTACTTCATCTTCTGTGGGTAATTTCTCTTCTGTATGCTATAGAGAAGGATTTGTAATACGTGTATCTCTTGAAGGAGGAGCCACTGGATTTGGAGAGGTAATGATGATGCTTTAGTTTTTCTTATTTGGACACCTTCATGTTTGTAACTTTTATCTTTCGTCAGATAACTGCTAATGTGCATGTCATTAAAAAGTCTTGTTTGTTTTGCTGCTAATAAAGGGCACTTGTCAAGATTGTCATTTTCTCCCTGCTTTCTTTTCCTACATTTCAAATTTTAACTACAGCAGTAATTTTAATTACTACTTGGAAATGTTCTTCCTTGTGCACTCGAAATGGTAACTTGTCAAGAATGGTCTTTTTCCCCCTTTCTCCATTTTGTCTATGTAAATTTGGAGGTCCATCTTCTGGATATGTGAAAGCTAAGATCTACTGAGCTGAGCTCTTCTCTTGCTGTTTGACCAGGTTGCACCTATTGAAATCCTTGAAGAAAACCTAGTGGGCGTGGAAGACCAACTTCAGTTCCTGACTCATGCTATTGAAGGAGGAGAAATCACTGACTTTATTCCACTGCTGAATGGCTCCGTTGCATCCTGGATACGTAACTGTTTAGGAATATCGGTAAGATATTAATGTTGTATGGAAGATGGTTGTGGGGCTGGAGGGTGGTGTTGCGGAATGGGAGAGAAGTCAACAACTCTTTGAACCTTATCCACTATGCTTCTTACTCATTTCATTGTGTTTCTTGCCTTGACTTCTTGCAGCCAGATTCACTCTTTCCTAGCGTCAGATGTGGCTTAGAGATGGCTATCCTTAATGCCATTGCAGCAAGCAAAAGATCTTCTTTACTAAACCTACTCTATCCAAGGGCAGAAGATTTGCCTACAAAGAGTTCACACGTCAAAGTCTGCGGCCTCATCGACTCGATCGGTAGTCCAAATGATATGGCTTCTGCAGCAGCTGCTCTTGTCGAAGAGGGTTTTACTGCTATCAAAATAAAGGTGATAAGTTTTAAAAAAATTCAAAATTCTGGGAAGAGATTTATGTTGTCTATAAAAAAGTGAACCGCCCAATTCAGTGGAGGCAAACTCAACTATTTCTTGTACTTGTTAGGTGGGGCGTAGGACCAACCCCATTGAGGATGTAATGGTCATACAAGAAATAAGGAGAAAAGTGGGGAATGATGTTGAATTGCGAGCTGATGCCAACCGAAGTTGGACCTTTTCTGAAGCAGTTGAATTTGCTAATTTGGTGAAAAGCTGCAACCTGCAATATGTCGAGGTACTGTACTGTTATAATCCCTAGTATTAAGAATGGATTATGTAGCATCTTTCATTGGCCATTTCTTCCCTGCTTCCATCGTGTGTCTATTTTCTTCAATGCTTTTTGAAGAATTTCTGCAGTCTATAAACTGGTGTGGAGATGCAATCTGGCCAATTTTTTTCATCATTCCTTCCAAGCATATGTTGGAGTTTCAAACATTCCAGAGTTAACAGTTGTGACTTCTGAAGTCTTGAAATTTATTCACCTTTTGTTTTTCAACTTCTCTTTTTAGGAGCCTATTAGGGACGCAGATGATATTGTGAAGTTTTGTGAAGAGACTGGCTTGCCTGTGGCACTGGATGAGACTATCAATAATACAAGAGTAGATCCAGTAGAAGTACTCAAGAAGTACACCCACTCAGGAATCGTGGCGGTGGTATGTCTTAATGCTTACTTGATGCTGAATTTGTTTTAATGTGATCTTTATTTTGTTCAATTTATAGCGACCCGTGTTGGTCTGGTACAACATTGTTTGTTTCTTATTGCACTTAAATTAGGAACGGATAAATGAGCGAATTCCATTTCTCTCTTCTTGTAAATTTGATTCTCGTTTAGGAGGTTCACTTATGCAAATTCTTGCTATTGATTTTCTTTTTCAAGATGATGCATTTAATAGATTGTTGAATAAGAAGGCATGCTCAGGTATGCTTTCCTGATTGCTATCCTGAGGAGAAAAGGAAAATATGTCTCTTCCTCTCCTACACAACTTTCATCCACGCTCAATTTTGAATGAGACTATTAGAATTCGTGTGTCCAACCTAGTTTTCTTCTTCTCTGTAATCTGTATGCTTTATTCTCTTAGAGTCATGATTATGAACCAGCAGGTAACTGAATGCACTTCTATTGTCATGTAGGTAATGAAACCAAGCATGATTGGTGGTTTTGAAAAAGCAGCGTCGGTTGCAAGGTGGGCTCAGCAGCAAGGGAAAATGGCTGTTGTTAGTTCTACATTTGAGAGCGGCTTGGGCTTGTCATCCTATGTTCAATTCTCAAGCTTTATTGAACTCCAAAATGCAGAAATATGCAGTGTGCTAAAAAAGGAATCACCAGTTTGCGTAGCTCAGGGTCTTGGGACCTACAAGTGGCTTAAAGAAGATGTGAGTGCAGAGGCTTCAGGTATCTGTCTTGATTCAGATAACGGGTTTGCTGGGGCTTCCATTGTCGACACTGGCCGATCCTTGCAGAGGTTCCAAATCAATCAAAATGTGATTGTTAAAACTTATGCTGAAGAAGTGATACATGAATATCAGTTGCCTGTCGATTTGGAGGGGACCACCTACTCTCTCAATGTGGTCGAGATGGGGAAAGATGTTGATGTAAGTAGTGATGTATTCTGCGTGAAGAATGATTTTTTCCTCTTTTTCCTACCTGAATTATTTTCATCACTGGCTTGTAGTGCCGCTACTCATTCAATTTTGATTCGTCAGGGCCCTGTCCTTCTGTTTCTTCATGGATTTCTTGGAAGTGGTGAAGATTGGGTACCAACTATGAGGTCACTATCAAAATCAGTGAGATGCATAGCAATTGACCTTCCTGGTCACGGTAAATCTAGCTCAAAATATCAGAGTAGTAATGGTTCCAGTAAACAGCCTCGTTTGTCAGTTGAGAATGTTGCTGGTATGTTGTGTAAATTGCTACCTAAGATAACTGCTGAGAAGGTGATTTTGGTTGGATACTCCATGGGAGCAAGGATTTCCTTAAACATTGCCCTGAAAAGTGCTGATAAGGTACAGGAGCTGATGTGTTTAGTATCTTTCATATCAATCTGATTTCTTGATAAAGGTAGTTTTTGATATATGACTTATGTTGGAAGGTTGAAGGAGCTGTTATCATTTCTGGAAGCCCGGGACTGGAAAATCCAGGTGCCAGATTGGTTCGTCAAGTTAAAGATGATTTTAGAGCCAGCTCCCTTGTTTCTTATGGCCTTGAGAACTTTTTAGATTCCTGGTACACTCAAGAGATGTGGAACAGGTAACCAGGAATATCCCTGTTTCTATATACCCCATTCTTTGATCCTTGTCTCTTCTAGAATATAGCACACCTTTGACCTTACTAATAGCTCCGTATGCTACAATGCAGCTTAAGGAGTCATCCTCATTTCAGCAAAATCGTTACAAACAGGATGCAGCATGGCAACTTGCATACTCTGGCAAGAGTTCTGTCTGATTCAAGTATCGGGAGACAGCAGTAAGTTCATGAAACACAGAGAAACAAGTATTTATGAATGCAATATAAATTTAACAGCCGTTGGATATAACTTCACAATCAATGCCTAGCCATTGGATTTGACTTGACAATGCTAATATTATTTTCCTTCATTTTTATTTTGATGATAGACCGTTGTGGGAAGACCTGAAGCAGTGCAGTGTACCACTTCTGCTTGTTGTTGGTGATCAAGATACAAAGTTTAAGAATATTGCCAGGGAGATGCTTCACAAGATGAGCCACAATACTAGGACAGAAGCTAGTCCATCAATAGCGGAAATTCCAAATGCTGGACATGCTGTGCATGTTGAGAATCCCCTCCCAGTAATATATGCCATCAGGAAGTTTTTGAACAGAGTCAAAAACTTGCCATCCCTTCAATTAGATAATGGAGTTGCAGATAGTGAAGATGTTCCCCTTGTCAATCAATAGTTCTTGAGATATAGCCGAACTGAATACAGGAGTGCGGGTTAAAGTGGTGCCTGGCCTTCTTCATTTTTTTAACTGATGAGCAAGTTCAGTAGACACGTGAAATTCCGTGTATAGAACTCTGCTGAGGTCGATTTGAAGCCATAGAGCATAGGTATTTTTTCTGCAGAAGTTCAGAATTTTTGTATAGCATATAGAACAGATCTAGTGTTAGAAGATGACACTTTGAAATCAGCCTAAAAGCCACACAATGGTGTAGGAATATACAGTAGTTCCCATCCCTTGGAGTAAGGATGGTTTGTATACAAAACAGACGACTCTATTTTGGAGGCAAACGACAAACATCTGATGATATATCCTCATTTTTTTTAATCCAATGATATCAATTCATTATACGAAATAATTAGGGTTTTTTTTTATATATTTGTTATTTTGTTCTTCCTTCCAACGTATACTAAAAGGGAATCAGAAATGTGTAAAACTGGTGGTAAAACCTCGAGTACTAATTTAATCTGCGAGATTTTACTCTGGAGATTCAACCATTTTTAGTGCCTGATTTTTTTTCCCAAGAAAAAACTTGTGATTAGGGTTCAGTCAGATTCATATTATTTGCTGAAGTATTATTGCTTCATATCTCGAAAAGAAAATTCCCATTTACCCTCTCAATTAAAAACAGTGGCTTTTGTATAAAGGAAAAAAAAATGAAATGAATGAGCTACAAATGGCAGAATTAAGGACACAGACGCCCTTTGATCTAAGAATTTTAGCATCCAGATGTTGCGGATTGGATCTGCTGGAACTAGGGAGTTTTATTTCTCCTTTTTACTGAGGGGTTTTATTTGATTACTTTTCATTTGATCATGAACTGCTTCCGTCTCAACATTTAGAATTCTGTTTATTGTGGTATTCTAGTCGGACATTTTTATGGAACGGAAAAAGTACTAATCAATCACTCGGAGAAACAAATTGAGTTGAACCAAAAGCTCATTCCAACCAATGTCCCATAATCCACAGTACTCTTCTAGGTTGCCAAATAAAATTGTCAACATTAATGGCAGAAGTCCATCAGGGGAAGCACGAGTCCAAGTAAACCTTTTCAGTATTACTGGCAACTGCCCTTAAATATCAAACTTAATAGTCTTTTGAATTAAATACTTGAAGAATCAACATTTCAGGCTTGAAAAATTCATCACTATCCCGCATTTGAGGACGTTGATTAATATTTTGATTGATTGCAGTCCAGTGATCGAAACCAACCGAAGTACAATAATACTGATCTCTCCGTCCCCGAAATTCTTGTCTAGTTTGAAATTTTATTTTTAGTTCAAATTATATTAAAAGATAAAATCCCAAACTAGATAATAATTGTGGGACAGAAAGAGTAATTAATAACAATAATAATCACTGTAGCGATTTTTTATTTATTCTCCGTATGATATTATTAGTTAGGTTAAGCTACTAATTGGAATATGTCAAAATTTCTATATCGTCTCAGAAATTCTTCATAAGAAAAAGTTCTTATTATAGAGAACGGTAATGAAATTAAATTTTCTTCCAAAAAGAAACTGCAATGTTTTTCATTTATTCGAATAATGGTTTTATTTTTATTTACTGCAATTGAAATTCCAAAAAAAAAAAAAAACAAGAATCCAATCCTTGTCAAATTAAGCATTCTTAAAAATTTAAATACATGTAAGTTATGATACAACATATATAGTAACTAGTTCTGCGGACAAAGAAAAGGACCAATACATAAGCATTATTACATGTGATTCTTATTTAAGTGCATGTCAAACATCTCATGTTTGATGTTCCAAAATTGTCCCATAAAAGTCAAAATTTATTAGTAAAAAAAGATAATCAATTTTGAGAATGTAACAAGTTGAAAATATGTGGAAGTTATTTAACATGATATGACCAATACTTTTCCAGTTTTCCTTATTGGTACAACCAAATGTCACTATTTTTATTAGTAGGAGGGAGCATTTTCTAGCCACATTTTTCTTTAGTCTGCCACAAACATATCAAATTGTGGCAACTATAATCTGCTTCAAGAGTAGCAAAGGTGACTTTTGAAGCGAAAATTGAGTGTTTAATTCCAAAATTCAACGCTGGTGGCGCTCTTTAGAAACTATTTTCTTGAAAGAAATCGTACGTCTTTTTATTCCCAAATCGGTCCACTTAATTCAGCAGTTATTGTCGTCTACCATCGACATTTTACAAGTCTACTCAGCTACAATTTTTTCAAATTTTTGGTTTCAGAATATTAGATATGATGACTAAGAATGAGCAAATTGATTTAATACATTATTCCACCTTTTTTTTTTTACTTCAAAGTTCTTTCATTAAAAAAATAAGTTGACAAAACCATCAAAATCATCACTTTGGTGAATCAAAGAGAGAGTAATTCACCGTGTTTCAGCTCAAGAAAATATAGTAAATTATAATTATCAGCTCGGTCTTCTTAGATGGAATTTAAAAAACACACCCGTCAAACAAAAATAATTACTCTCTTCTTTAAATTATAAATCTTAAAATTCAATATGAACTATCCTTCTAGGATAAAAGAAATATTTTTATTTGTAATTTAGCAGAATTATTTGCCACCACATGATGCATGGAGTATTGTCTCTGTCTCAACAAAAAAATCAATAGTGGTATTTGTTGTAACCTTTAAATTTAACTAATCAATTTTTCTATAAAGAAAAAGAATTGATATGATTCCTCAAAGATTATACTCATAATTTGGACTTTGGACTGAAGGGGGCGAAGCTACAGAATGCATGGCATTGTAAGTCCGAGTTGGAGTGATCTTAGAGAATGAATGGTTTTGATTTTAATATCATTTGAGTCAAATTTGGAAGCGTGGAAAATGCACTTCTCAGTCCAACATGTTCCATGACTTCCTTCTCATTCCTCTTATTTCATATACAAAAAAAAAAAAAAAATGCTTATGAATCATGACTTTTTAATTATTTTATTTTGCATTATTCCACGAAACATTTGTACGATCATTTTGAAACAAAAAAAATACATATGAAATGTTCTAACTAAATGAAAATCAAAACAAGAGTAATTCCCGTTCAACCTTTAAAAAGGCTCCTTTAGAGAGATGGATCGGGTTTTTATTTCATTTTAATTTGTACGTTTTTTCTATCTAAAGTTTCAATTTTTATGATGATTTATGGATTATGGATTATGGAGAAATAATTCAAAAGCTAAAAGATACGCAAAAAAAAAAAAAAAAGGGAAGGGAAAGAAGGCACTGCAAGAGGGTCAAGATGCTACATTACGTGGGTAAGTAGTAGCTCTACTAATGAGTTTCAAGCTCCTAAAAGACAAAAGAAAATGCCCTTTTTTTTCAGTAGAAAAACTACTTATTTAACCGTTTATTCCTATTTGTCAGCTTGAAAAAAAAATAAAAATTGATCTGGCGGCTACGGCAATTGGCTAGCATCTTTTTCAAAATTTCCAATAAAGTGGTAGTATTAGTAATTGGTCCTTCTTGGTAGCAACTATCATAAAGTTTAAGTACAGCTATATATCTGATAATATATCTGGTGTCTGAAATTACTGTTCCGCTGCAGGCCAACTAAATCCATTTTCAAACTATTAAAGCCACACTATAAATAATTTTAAGTACAATAATATATCTGGCAGTATATCTAGTGTCCGAAATCACTATTCCGCTGCGGGCCAACTAAATCCATTTTCAAACTATTGAAGCCACACTATAAATAGGAAGGCATAGTAGCTTTATTTTCTCCAAGCCAATTTCTGCAAGCTCTCCTCCAGCACTTGATCAACTCTTCCTTACTACTCACTTGTAAGTTTTTTAACTATAAATTTTTTTTTTCTAAAGAGATGGATCAGAACTTGAACATGGCTGTGAGGAGAAGAATGGCTTGCATTGCCAATCACATGATGCCTGGCGAAATGGTTGCGGGAAACGAGCTCGGTTCTGTTGCTCTTTCCAACTGCAGCTCTCCGGTGGAGGACAGCTACAGCAGAACCCACCGTCCGGTCCCGACTCATCCACCCGTTTGGACCAGAATCCCAACAGATGATACCGGCAAGGAGTTTGAGGATATCATCTATGAAAAAGCCGCCGGAGAAGGCATTGCCAAGGTGTGTGATTTTTACCCTTCACCATTTCCCCTGTTTTCAGGAATTACCCCTGTTTCCAGGAATCAGGATGATGAGCTCTGAATTCGAATTACATCTGTTGTCCTGTTTTTGATTGTTTTGTTAACTTTGTTGATCGATTGGGCAGATTACGATTAACAGGCCAGAAAGGAGGAACTCCTTCAGGCCACAAACAGTGAAAGAACTGATGAAGGCGTTTAATGATGCCAGGGATGATATTAAGATCGGAGTCATCATTTTCACCGGAACGGTACTATTCCATTTCTCCTTTTAATCATCAGCTAACCAGACAAAAAGGATTTATTAGTATAAAAAAACCATCCGAGGGTACAAGATTGAAAACAGGGTATGTTTGATTGCAGGGTACAAAGGCATTCTGCAGTGGAGGTGATCAATCCTTCAGAGGCAAAAATGGTTATGCTGATTATGACAATTTTGGACGACTCAATGTTTTGGACTTGCAGGTTCAGATTCGCCGACTCCCAAAGCCCGTCATTGCAATGGTAAGTTTGCCTTTAGCCCTTTTATTCCACTCTGTTTTCCATCCTGGAATTTCTTCTCTGACTCTTCCTTAATCCGAAAACTAGGTTGCGGGTTATGCTGTGGGAGGTGGACATGTTTTGCACATGGTCTGTGATATCACCATAGCTGCTGATAATGCCATTTTTGGCCAAACTGGTCCAAAGGTGATTCATAATATCTTCATGCAGTGTGAACTGCACCATTAATAATAATATTGGTCACTAACATTCTGTTTTTGGCTTGGAAAATTTTTTTAGGTTGGTAGCTTTGATGCTGGTTACGGAGCTTCAATTATGTCCCGCTTGGTAAGTCATTGAGCTTCCTTGATCAATGGAAAAGATCTAGAATGGTGATTTGAGCATTCAATTTGTTAGAAACATATGGAGAGACTCACTAAATTTGTTCCAACTCTGTGCTGAAAATTCCAGGTTGGCCCTAAAAGAGCTAAAGAAATGTGGTTCCTTGCTAAGTTCTACACAGCTGCAGAAGCAGAAAGAATGGGGCTTGTGAACACCGTAGTTCCAGTAAGTATGACAAGTATTACTATTACTACCTTTGTTCCAAAAAAAATTATCTACGTTGAATTTTGAATTTTTATTCAAAAAAAAAGTACAAATTTGAAACTCAACGTAGACTATTTTTTCGAGACGGAGGAATAACAAGTATTCCATTTTATCTGAAGCAAATTTACTAAATGTTCTGATCTCTTGAATGATCTTATAAATGTGGTCTTAATACAGTTGGAGAACCTGGAACAAGAAACAGTGAAATGGTGCCGTGAGATAATGAGGAACAGCCCAACGGCGATCCGAGTTTGCAAATCGGCGGTGAATGCAGCTGATGATGGCCACTCCGGACTTCAGGCACTTGCTGGAGATGCAACCCTCATGTTCTATGGCACCGAAGAAGGCAATGAGGGAAGATCTTCCTACCTCCAACACCAGCAACCTGATTTCTCCAAGTTCCCCAGGCTTCCTTAGATCTTTGTTGATCAACACTAAATTTGTTTTGTTCCTTACCTTTGTGATTCAAGTTGAGAGTCTTTTGTGGCTTTGTTTGCCTCTTTATCGTACTCCAATTTTATTGTATGTGATGGTGAGCGTTCAACCATAAGCTCCAATCGTGTACTTCTGATATTGTATTGTGATCATTAATAAAAAGTGTCATTCAATTAGTAATGTGTACTTTCAGCTACAATAATCTCTCATTTCCAAAATATAAATAACTATAATAACTGAATACATATTTAAAAAACTGAATCTAATCATTTAGTGATTAATTTCTACGTTAACTGCAGCTGGCTTATGTACATAATCCTCCCTATATTTAAATGTTATATATTATTTTATTAAATATGCTTGGCCTTCAACTTGATATGAACTTCAATTCAAGGATTCTCAATATGCACTTTTCCTACTCATGACCTTAACAGACTTTTAATCTGATTGTTGGTTTGGACTTTAGAGTTAAAACCTTAATAGAAATGAGCCGATAAATATCACGTTAAAAAATTTGATAGAATTCGTGATCTGATTACAAATAATCCATCGATCACAAGTCGCTCCCAATTATAATGATAATTTCATTTATTTTATAGTAGTGTAGTAGAATGGTTGATTGGAAATATGATAGTTTTGGGCTGATGGAGGTTGAAACCCCAAACAAAATATGGAAGAAACGTTCAGCAGGTTCCCGTCGAGTTATCCGACAGCTTATTTAAGTCGACGGTAAAGTCGACGAAAGAATTACTTAAATTAAGTTTTTTTTTTTTTGATTATATTTTCAATTTTAAGACTTTCCTAGGGTTATTTTCCGATCATAACAACTTTATTATGATTTTAGAGTATTTAAGTAAGTTTTGAATTCATGTACAACTAAATTTAATATATTTTTTATTTTGAGTAGACTTTCTTTTTTAAGAGCTTGAGGTGGTTATTTTCCGATCATTCTCACTCGTAAATAAAATTTAGAACTAAATCTAGTAAAAATATTATCATTACGACCTCTATAACTCTTTTGACCAAAATGTTCACTCAATAGAAACCCTAGGCTTAGAAAATAACTATATCGTCATTAATTATTGATAGATTTTACGTTTCGCACTGCCTACAGGTTTTTGTTCCTTTAGCCTCTGAACGGCCACTTTTTAGCTTGTCCTGCTTGTTTGGAGGTCCGTCCAAGGCCAATGAGTCAAACACGACTGTATATAATAATTTTAAGAGGTCAAGAATTCTTCTTACTTTAAAGAGAAAAAACATAAAGAATTTTCCATAGTAACCAAGAACAATATGCATGGATTAGAATGTTGGTTTGATTTCAGTTTCAATTTATGTGCAAATCCGAAAAAAAATATAAATCACACAAATAAAAGAATCTTATAGAAAATGCCCAAAAAAAAAGTAAAAATACTCATCGATCTCAAAATGAATCGCTTATTTATTAAGAAATTTAAGATTATTTTGGAACGAGTGGAATATTAATATCTGAGCCAAAGCGGGAAATCAAAAACAAAAAAAAAAAAAAAAGGATGTTATGATTCATTACGGGTTTGACTAAATGAGCAAATCCAAATAGTTTTTACTCAGCAGTCCGAGTTGGACTGAATTACAGAGATTGGTTTATTAGTATCATTAATTTTTAGTCAAAAATGGAAGCGTGGACATCAACTCTTCTTCCATGTCCCTCATGTTCCATCCCACATTATTTTTTCTTTTTCCCCCATTAAGTGAAAATACTTAAAAAAAAAATCATGACTTACTGATTATTTTACTTGAATTTCTACGCTTTAATCAAGCTTCATTTCAGTTTTCTTTAAAACAAAAACAGACGTCTTCAAGGCTTACTTCATGGTGTGTAGGTATGTATCAATTTCACTTTGTGGCGCTTATTTTCAAATATATCTTAATGTAAATGGGGGAAAAAAAAAAAAGAAGCAGCTGGACTATCAATGAGAGAGGTGAATGATAGGAAAAAAACGAGAAGTATAAATCGGATTATGTACAAATCACGCAGGGTTATTCTTAGACATGATCTAGTATACTGCCTCCTACCAAAAAGCAATAATGTGGACATTTTTACCGAGTAAATAAACTGTTTGAATTATGTACAAATCACGTTTTCTATGTAATAAGGAAGCTTTGGTGTCTTAAACCGAAAAATGAACCCAAATAACCGTTAACTTTCAATGAGTAATGAAGAAAACGGGAATGCAAGTCCTAATAAAATTTATACAAAACATTCTATTTTAGTTTTCAAGGTTGAATCGGATAACTCTACACGGGTTCTTTTTTTTTTTTTTTTTAAGACTCTAGCATTAGTTTACGATCCAAAAAAGTAAATTCAAAGAATAGTTGTACTAATAATATTATTGAATATTCATCCATTCCTATTAGTCAGCTTGAACTTGGAGCCGAAAAAACAACAAAAGAGATAGGTTGGCGGCGTACAAGCAGTACATGGATGACAAGCCTTATTTTTTCTCCAAAGAAAATGATATTTTTGTGGGGTAATACACAAGAACCCCCTTGTGATTTAGGAAAGTACACGAGAATCCCCTCATGATTTAAAAAGTACACGATAACTCTCTTGTGGTTTTTCGAAATGTGTAATTAGATGGAAAAGTGTGATATTAACGTAAAATGGTTCATCACGCGCGCGTATAGGGCAGTGGGCTTTCTCTTTTCCGCTGACAAATTTTTTAATATCACAAACACCCCTTAATTTATTCTTATTTCTCTCGTTTCGGCTTTTAGTAATTTTTTCATTATTTGAGTCATTATATTATTATTATTACTGTAAACTGTACAGAAGATTCGTATGAATTTCACAAAATTATATTCCTCCACAAACCATTGGTCACCACACAAACTATCATCAATAATAAATATCTAGAAAATTAGTACGAAAAATAAAAAAATAAAAAAAAGAAGGCTAGAAGCTTGAAACTGGAGAAATATGAAAGAATTAATCAAGAAGTTAGATCTAACTTCACCTCAGTTCGAATTCTTCCACAAATATTGCGAATATGGGAAAAAAAAGAATAAGAAAGAAATGACTACAAAAAAATCCTCCACAAGTTTTAGCAAAATCTTTAAGCCACCGACGTCGCCGTTGAATGTCGAAGTACTATGCCGCCTTTGATGTAGAACTCAAACCCATTAATTGAGCCAGATTTGAAAAGAAAAAAAAAATCCATGGATGTTGCAAGTGACCGATTTACATGGACAGAAATTAAAAGATAATAGGGCCAGTTACATTTTTTGGATGGTTGTAACGGGGTGAATTTCATGTGATGGTGGCGAAACAAGTAGCTAGATCCGTCAATGGTTGTTGGTGGTTTACATGGACGGAAATTGGAGAATGAAGATTGAGGAGGTAGGAAAAGATTAGAGGAGAGAAGAAACGAGATAAAAGGTAAGAAACTTGCTTGTGTTCATCTTATATAAAAAGGGGTAAAATAGTCAAATCTATTGACGTCGTCAATGTCTGGCTTTTCCATCCATTTCACACGTTTTAGAAAAACATAAGGGGGTTCTCATGTGATTTTTAAACTATAGGGGATTTTCGTGTGTATTCCTAAACCACGAGGGGTTCTTGTGTATTACCCTATTTGGTCCCGTACCACTATTTTGAAACAGTTAAAGTTTCTCTATAAATAGAAAGCATAGTAAGCTCCCAAACTCCAACCCGCTTCCTCTGTTTTCCAGCACCAATCAGTTCAAAAGAATTGAACATCAAATTTTGCTTACTCATTTTCTTCCCTAAAAACTTTTAGGCAGAGATGGATCAGGACTTGAACATGGCTGTGAGGAGAAGAATGGCTTGCATGGCCAATCATATGATGACGCCAGCTGAAACGGGTCTAGAAAATGAATTTGGCTCTGTTTCTCTGTCCAACTGCAGCTCTCCGGTGGAGGACAGCTACAGCCGGACTCACCGTCCGGTCCCAACTCACCCACCTGTTTGGCAAAGAATTCTAACTGATGATACCGGAAAAGCGTTTGAAGATATTATTTATGAAAAGGCCGTCGGAGAAGGCATTGCCAAGGTTTTATTTCCTTTCCAATTTGGAATGGCTCTGTTTTGATTGGATTATGTTGATATTGGGATGGTCCTGTTTTTTGATTTCCTTGTGTGCTTTGATCAATTTGGACAGATTACGATTAACAGGCCGGAAAGAAGGAACTCCTTCAGGCCACAAACGGTGAAAGAACTCATGAAGGCATTTAATGATGCCAGGGATGATATTAAGATTGGAGTCATCATTTTCACCGGAACGGTATTCATCCCTCTCCTCTGTATATTTCTTCATTCAGAATCCTCGGTATTTCTCCGATCGTACGTTACTGACAAAGAATTAATCTATTGAGTACAGGGTACAAAGGCATTCTGCAGTGGTGGCGATCAATCCTTCAGAGGCAAAAATGGGTACGCTGATTATGACAATTTTGGACGTCTGAACGTTTTGGATTTGCAGGTTCAAATTCGCCGGCTTCCCAAGCCAGTGATTGCTATGGTAACTTTTTTCTTAAGCCCTTAGTTTTTGCCAAATTTTTTTTTAACCTTCAATTTCTTCTGTAATCTTCTCCCTAACAATTTCCCTGAATAATGATTAATATAGGTGGCTGGTTATGCTGTTGGGGGTGGACATGTCCTGCATATGGTCTGTGATCTTACAATAGCCGCGGATAATGCCATTTTTGGTCAGACAGGTCCAAAGGTAAATTGCATTCATTATTTTTTCCAAAGGCTTCCAACAGCTAAAACTCTTAATTTTCAGCGCAAGAACTTCAGGTCAGAGTATTGTTAAACAGAGATATATCATATTTATTTATTTATTGGATTGCGAACTTTGCAGGTTGGTAGCTTTGATGCTGGTTACGGAGCTTCCATTATGGACCGCTTGGTAAGTCATTCGACGTTCAAAATGGTGATTTTCAACATCAATTCAATACCTTTACATATGAATATGATCACTAAAATTTGTTTGATTGTGTGCTAAAAACAGGTTGGGCCAAAACGGGCTAAAGAAATGTGGTTTCTTGCTAAGTTCTACACAGCTGCAGAAGCAGAAAGAATGGGGCTTGTGAACATTGTTGTTCCTGTAAGTATTATTTGTATCCCATCTTTTCTGAAGCAAATTAATTACTACTTGTAATGTTCAGATGTCTTATATGATCTTGTAAATGTGGTCTTAATACAGTTGGAGAATTTGGAACAAGAAACAGTGAAGTGGTGCCGAGAGATAATGAGGAACAGCCCGACGGCGATCCGAGTTTGCAAATCGGCGGTGAATGCAGCTGATGATGGCCACTCTGGACTTCAGGCACTTGCTGGAGATGCAACCCTCATGTTCTATGGCACCGAAGAAGGCAATGAGGGAAGATCTTCCTACCTCCAGCACAAGCAACCTGATTTCTCCAAGTTCCCTCGGCTTCCTTAATTTCACCATTTTATTATTCCTTTTGGCTCCTCCTTTCTGATTTGCCAAATTGGATCATCATTGTTCAATTTTATTGTATCTCTATGTGGGGTGCTTTGATGAATGACCAATGCTCCAATTATGTACTACTATTACAATGAGTTAAGGTCATTAAATAACAAAGTTTATTTCAAAATCTATGTCCTTCTAATTATATGAAGAATTATAAAATTTCTTAGCAAAGTCTTGTTTGATTAAGTTGCAAATGGTTCCAGACATTATAAGGTAACAAAAAGAAAAGTTTGAATAGCCGTGCAACGATGGTTGATGAAACTGAAAGATGTAAACTTTGTTCGATCATGTCTTTAAAGGTCTAAGTACATCTTTTTTTTTTTTTTGGATGATTTCGACATAAAAATCAATCATGATTAAGATATGGCCATGATTCACAATTTTTTTGGGGGTGGGGTTAGGTTTCTACATTTGTTTGTTCTATTATGCGACGGAAGTGTTGTACCAGACTTGAGATGGTAGAATTCCACAAGAGATATCAACATCTGGAACGAAAAAATAAGAAATTCCTAAATCCTAACTTTTATTTTATCATTTAATTTGTTGAACTATTTTCAACAATACAACAACTATACAAGATAAAAATTGAGACACTGAAATATCGGTTTTAAATTCCACATTTTGTAATAATCTCCTAAATGGATAAAATAAAATAACAACTTTTTCTAATAGGTTTCATTGATTTGCTGGAGGTTTGTCAGCTAAAAATGATTAAGAGAGACAGGATACTTGTGGACTTTTTTAAAAAAAAAAGAAAATAAAAAAATCGAACAATAATAGAGGAAAAAGAAAAAGAAATTAGAGATAATCATTATCATACTCATCAGTCGTGGATTGTATTTTAATTTTAACTAGATGCTTGTCCCGGACAAATGCCCGGGCGTCCTCCCATCTAATAAATTAATATGTAAATAATCAAAACTGATTAGGAATGAATTTAGTTTTTGATGAAGATAATTAATTTATCGAAAATTAATTTTTTAGAAAGTCTTAAATAATGGAGAAGGAAAGTTCCATTCATTGTCAAATTCAAAATTTGAATGAACATGGCCATCTGATCTCTTCGTTAATATTGTAAATATATTTTTTGTTTTTAAAAGGAGGTGACACGTGGCAGAATGGTTTATGCAATATGGTGTATTTGGAGCCAAAACCTTTTAATAAGAAATTACCACATAAGCATCTTGTTTTCTGCTTTAAATAGGGTATAAAAGGGATTGTTTTATAATTAATCCCTGACAATTCTCCTTTAAAACAGGTCGGTGTCGTTTTGGAAATAACGGCCGCAGCTGTACAGCAAATTTACAGAGAAGAGAGAATATGCCCAAAGTGATCCAATCACAGCAAAATTCTGGAAACCATGGAATATTCTATGCATTGTTCTTCACAAATATCCCAAACCCAACTCGGTTTCATCAATCTTTACAGCCTTAATCCAACCCTATTTAACAACAATGATCATCAAATCCCTTCAGCCGTCATCAATTTCTTCCCCAAGAATCAACATTCCTTCTCAGGCTAATCCGTAGCCGGAATCCTGCTTTTAGAAAAAAAAAAAAAATATGGCTGCTCTGAAGGCCGTTCATGTCTCCGATATCCCGAATCTCGACCAAGTAACGGAGAACGCTTCCGTTTCCCTTTATTCCACTCGATTCCATAAACCGGCGGAAGTGGGTCGATCTGTATTCACGGCCCCGAGGTTTCTGGTGGTCGGACACAGGGGAAATGGGATGAATCTATTGCAGTCCGGTGATCTGAGGCTGACTGCAATCAAGGAGAATTCGATTCTTTCCTTCAATGCCGCCGCGAAATTTCCGATCGATTTTGTTGAGTTCGACGTTCAGGTCACCAGCGACGGAATCCCGGTTATCTTTCACGACGACTTCATTTTGGCAGATGTCAACGGCGTGGTTTGCGAAAGGAGAGTTACCGACTTATCTCTGCCGGAGTTCATGAGTTACGGCGTCCAGAGAGAAGCCGGAAAAGTTGGTAAATCCCTGATGAGGAAAACGAAACAGGGCCGAACGATTAACTGGAACGTCGAGACGGATGATTTCCTCTGTACTTTGGAAGAGGTTTTCGAAAAAGTCGACCCCCCGAATTTGGGATTCAACATCGAGTTAAAATTCGACGATTACATTGAGTATCAACAAGATCATCTGATCAGAACCCTTCAAAACATATTGAAAGTTGTGTTTGATAACGCCGGTGACCGTCCTATAATCTTCTCTTCTTTCCAACCCGATGCTGCTCTGCTTACCAAGAAACTGCAATCCAAGTACCCTGTTTACTTCCTCACCAATGGAGGCACAGAAATTTTCAAGGATGTGAGGATGAATTCGTTAGAGGAGGCACTGAATCATTGCCTGGATGGCGGGTTACAAGGGATCGTTTCGGAATCCAAAGCCGTGTTCAGAAATCCAGGGGTTGTGAACAGGATTAAGGAATCAAAGCTGTCTTTGCTAACGTATGGGGAGTTGAATAACGTGACAGAAGCTGTTTACATGCAACAATTGATGGGGGTTGAAGGGGTGATTGTTGATTTGGTTGAGCATATCACTGATTCTGTTTCCAAATTGATGATGCCGCCATTGAAGGAAGCAGGGGAGGATGAAGAACAAATTGATCATCAATGGCAACAAGAAAGTATAAGTAGCAGACCGCAGTTCTCTCAGACGGAGTTGTCTTTTCTGCTGAAGCTGATTCCTGAACTTTTACATCAATGATAATAACAGTTGTATTTTTAGTCATTTGAATTCCTCTGATTAATTAGCCAACTTTACATATATTATTGTTATAATACAATGATTCGGTACTCCAGTAATGTCTTTAACTTGTTAGCATTTGATATCTAATGAAAACTCTCTCGCTGAAAATTTAAGGAAAATGTTTCCAAGTGTTGTGGAGTATAGACTAATGGTAGGATCATTGATCTCGAGGTTACAATGATTTTATATGGGTTTAAGCTTTGATTTAGTGACTTGAATGGACCAACTAAATCATTCAATCACGACACATCATGACATTTTTTTCCTTCAAATTTTATTGTTGTGTATTCAATTTTAATTCGATTGCACATATTTGTTCCTTTTAGGATTTATAAATATTTCTCTCTTCAGCTCATAATGTATAGTAGCAGATTATTATAAGCTCCTTATTTTCAGTTATTATAATATAGAGCATCTAGGTACAAAGTTATTATAATATAGAGCACCTAGGTATAAGGTAATTATAATATAGAGCACTTAGGTACACTTTGGTACACCTAAGGTGAATACCATGTGCCCAAAAGGAGGGTAAAATTTTTTTTTTCAAATTTTCAATTTCTTAATATATCTCTTAATTTTCAGCAATCATTAATCATATCCATCCAACTTCCTATTCCAATCCAAAGACGTCTCAAACTAAAAGTTCTAAAAAATAAAATATTCTATGCAGTGTTTTGGCATCGAAACCTCTCGTCGGCAGTATTTTTGAAGACGGAATGCGATTTTGCATTAAATCCCCTTAGTTTGGTTGCAATATACGCTGTTGAATATGAAAATTTTTACGGTAAGATTTGAGATTATTCATCTGTTTTGTGTTTTGTATGGTGAATTTTGTTTGAAATTTTCAAAATCTTTGATTGGTAATTTCGAATTGCTAGTTCTAACCCGTTCAATGAATTGTCAAAGGTTTATGGATTTCCTTCTCTTGCGAAAAAAGAACAAAATTCAAATTTTGTGAATCGCTAAAGGTTTATAATTGGGTTTTAATCTCTTCAACAATTGATTTTTTTTTATTGGGTTATGTAGATATAAGGTATGTGCATTCGATTATAGATTTTTGTTTATCAATTTTTAAGTTTTCTTCATTGTTCTGTTGTTGGTTTTGGAAAAGACTAATAGATCCGGACATTATTCATTAGTTCGTATTCGATATTCATCTTTGAAACTAGTAGATTCATCATAATAATTGCGTTATTAGTTGGTTATTCATATTTAATTTTTTGGTTAGGTTATGCATATCTACGGTCTCTGCATTTGATTATAAATGATTGTTTACCAATTTGTTAGATTTGTTCATCCATTGGTTGATGATTTCGGAAGGGTTCCATATCTGTTCATTATTCAGCAGTTACCGTGCCATTATTCATTGATAATAAAAGGTTATTCATCATAATTATGTTATGTGATTGTTATTCTTTTTTCCAGTTAATTGTTATTCATCTGAGTGGATAGATGGAACATGTATATTTTGGTCATATTCATCCGTAATATTTAGTTATTCATCTATTTGTATATTCAACGTATTGCTAGAATGACATATGCATATACATAGATATAGTTATTCATCACTAAAACTGTAAGTATTCCTCCTAATGAATTTATGATCATAATACACTACATTTTCTGATTTTAATAAATAAAACATGATAATTTATCATATCTATCAAAGTATTCATCATTGGTGAAATAGTTATTCATTTAGTGTGTAATGGTTATTCATCATATTAACCTGACATGTTATATAATTTTAATGGTTATTGATGATTAACAGAGTTTTGTTTAAATGTGAAATCTCACATATTGTAATGTTGTTTTTGTTTGATCAGCGGCAAAAAAAATGCTTATCAAAATGAACTCGATCGGTTGCGAATCAAATATTTGCTAGAGTTGCTAAAATCGAACAATCAACACAAACGTATCGAACATTGGCGGATCTTTCAAGACCTTATATGTTAAAAACAATGACTAGTTTTCCTGTTCAATTTTGATATAGTATAGTACATAATTAGAATTTTGTTAGCTTAGTTCCTGACAATCTCATCGTAAAATATACTTTTGTTAGTTTTCTTGATCAAAATTATTCATTCTGTTGGCCATTATTCATACACTAACGATATATTATTCATTTATTAAAATACAATCATTCATCTTGCAAAAACTACATATATTCTTCATTTTAGTATTATTATTCATCTAGAATGTGATTATTATTCATCAAGATTTGCATCGTTATTCATCTTTGTAAATATTGTTACTCATTCATAAATTTACTCGTACACATATCCAGTTTTACTAAAAATAAAATCCATCATTTTAACAAAAAAAAAATCTTATGAAATAAAATAATATAAAAGCTAATAGGATAAGCATTAAAAAAAAATCAGTTTGAAATTAAACGTGTGCTAAAAAAAGGAGGATAAGATTTGGAGAATTTAATGCGAGTGTGGTGTCTTAAAATCCGGACTAAAAACTTCACTTGTGTAAAAAGAGAGTGTATTACACATGCTCATGAGGTACACCTTACAAAGTATACTTAGGTGTTTGTTATTATTCACCCACTATCTATTGTAGCCATAGCAACATAATTTTTTTTGGCAAATATAGTCCACGGGAAATATCAGATTTCCAAGTTCCTTGTTCTATCTGGTGTAATCTTATGGAGATCAAATCCAATTATAAAAATCTGAAATCCATTGACATTTTAGTGTAAGAAGAGTAATGATATTTTGTTGTCTTTTTATAAGAATCATAATGAATATTCATAATGACATTATTATGTAATATTTGGTTTTTCGCACCAACAATCCCTCCATTTCTTCTTTTACGTCCATAGTTTACTGAAATAAGAATACTTCTTCCGCCCCAAAATTATTATTCATTTTAGATTTTTATTTTCAAACTGGACAATAATTTTGGAACAGTGAGAATACAAAAAGTGAAATTTTAAATTTAACAATAATTTCAAGCGAATAAAGTACTATTTTCTTCAAGTTACATCACCTCTATGACAATATTCACAGGACACATCAAGCAATTTCTTTTGATAAATTCACGAAATTTAATGTGTACTCTATAAATATATCTTCAATCATAATTACACATTGCTCGATTATCCCCAAGAAACAACTACAGCATGAGGCATACTATTAAAATTTCATTCCTTTCACTTTTTCATTTGCTCGTCCTACCTTTTTTATGTACAACAAAACCTACTCTAGGATACCATTGGGGGGTTACCATTTGGAACATGTTGCCTAGCGATGGCAAGCATCTAGAATACCATTGTTATAAGGAACACGGTGATGATTTTGGTTGCCACATACTTGAACCTGCTACAAAGTTTCATTTCAATTTCAATCAAGGTCTTTTTAAAAATCCAAAATATTACTGTACATTTTGGTGGGCTGGAAAATTTAGAAATATGGCTATTTTTGATCGGAAGATAAGCAATCGCATCCCGCCGCATATCGTCGTTTGGCATGTGCGACCAAATGGGTTTTATTTATTGACTAGCCTTGATGATGTAAATCCTTTCGAAAAAATAAATGAATGGTATGATCATTGATAAATATATAATTGGTTGTTTTTATTAATAATAATGATAAAAGTTTCAATAATAATAATTGATTTTTTGTTGTATTCTAATCGCTAGACTTGTTGTTGTTGTTATTATTATTATTATTATTATTATTATTATTAAAAACTACCAATTATATATTCATCAATGATCACACCATTCATAATCAAACAAAATTGACAAATATAGGTCCTCTAAAAATTACAAGAAACAATAATATAAATACAAAAAGAAAATTAAGAAAAAACTAAAAAAGGTTTAAGAAAATAAGAAGCTATTAAGTTCTGTTTTTTTTCTAAAAATTTACATTTGAGAAAATTTTATCTTTTTTTTTTCCTAATCCGTAAATAAAAAAAGGATCATAAATGCATACGGGAAGTAGTATTGAAGTTGAGTATTTGTTTCTAAATATAGAAATTAAAAAAGGACCTATAAATTAATAAAATATAGTCCACGGAAAATATCAGATTTCGAAGCTCCTTGTTCTATCTAGTGTAATCTGGTGCATATGGAGATCAAATCTAGTTATAAAAATCTGAAATCCATTCAAATTTTAGTGTAAGAGTAATGATTTTTTTTTTTTTTTTTGTCTTCATAAAAGTCATAATGAATATTCATTATGACATTGTTATGTAAATATTTGTTTTTTCGCATCAACAATTTTTTCTTTAAGTCCATACTTTACTGAAAAAATAATACTCCCTCCGTCCCATAATTATTGTCCACTTTGCCCAAAAAATTTTGTCCTAAAATTATTGTCCAATTTGACTTTTTATGGATCAAGTTACACATTTTTCCTTAGTAAAAAATATTATCCATAAAATCTTAGTGGTTAAACAATTACTTATGTAAGGGTATATCCGATTGTTAAGGTAAAATATAGTTAAGTTTGACCAAAAATAAAAACTTTTATTTTAGTAAAACTGAACAATAATTATGGGACGGAGGGAGTATCTTTTTTGTGCTTCAAGTTTTGAATTTGTCAAATTGTTAAAATTTGACTACCTAACAAGATGGAACAAAATTGGAAAAAAGATACACCACTTCTTTGAGAAAAAAACAAACAAACAAACAAACAAACAAACCATTTCTTTAGATGAATTCACCAAATCTAAAGTGTAGTCTATAAATAATATATCTTCAACCACAAAAAACGCATTATTCAATCATCCCAAGAAACAACGACAAGAAGCAGCATGAGGCATCCTATTAAAAATTCATTCCTTTCACTTTTTCATCTGCTCGTCCTATGTTTTTTATGCTCAACAAAACCTAGTCTAGGATTCCATTGGGAGGTTACCATTCGGAACGAGATGCCTAAAGATGAAAGGCGTCTAGAATACCATTGTTACAAGCAAAACGGTCATGATTTTGGGTGTCACGTACTTGAACCTGGTGCAGAGTTTCATTTCGATTTCAATCGAAGTCCTGTTAGAAACCCTAAATATTACTGCATGTTTCGGTGGGCTGGAAAATATAGACACATGGCTGTTTTTGATCGCAAGATAACCCAACGCACCCCGCAG